GGTTGTTAGGGTTTGTTAGGAGGTACCCTGATGCTGAGCTTAGAGGTGCTATTGATGGACAGTATGTCAAGGTTACTGGGGTAATTTCATTGTCTCTCTCTATTACTCCTATTGTTTATTTATTACTATTTGCGTTTCTCTGTCTTTATGGTTTCTTTAGTGCTAATTATGGTAAGAGTATCTATTAATCTAATGCCAAAGAATGTTAAACTAGTGTACCTGTATTGTTGTTTTATTATCTTCTAGTCAATTCTGACAATTTCTAGGTCTATTTTCGTGGTATTTTCTCAACTTATAAGATTTATCATAGATACGGAATTTGTCATTGTTGAATATCATTTTCAATGGTTGCTTGAGGAAGAAAGGCAGCTAGGGAAAGAAAACTTAAAACGAAGAAAAAGAAGAGATTTATGGAATAGATTTTGGATGAGAACATGAATCTTATTTATCAAGGTTAATTTGGTGGTGTCAATGTGGTTCCGAAAGCCAATGTGTTGAATTTCTTGTAATATAATAACTTTGTAGAAAGGGGATTTCTTTATTTATTTTTATTTTTTTGGAATCAGAGGGTTTTGAAGGAGGCCTTGTGTATCTACCTGAGGACTCTTTTTTTTTTTGACGTAGATGCAAACTTGCAACTTTATCTGGGTGGTATAGAACCGTTTTCCCTGGTTGCATCATCCAGGTAACTTGTCTGAAAGTTGTTTTGTGGGCTTTCACCAAAAAGAGGAAATTTTTTGATTTACTTGATGGCTGAAGTGGAGCCAGCAAAGCTGCTATGAGCTATTTCTTGCTTGTATGTCGAGGTGGTGAGTGGACCATAATCTACTCCTTTAGGGGTTAAAGTGTAGAATCCTGAAAGATGTCATCGGTTTGTTTGATGAAATACTGCAAAGTGATTTTATTTTTATAAGCCACTTTAGGAATTTGCATTTTTGGTGGAGTCAAATTGTTGGTGGGTTGAGGAAATTTCTTGGAGGTTTTAAATTCACATGACAACAAAAGTTGAGAAGTGCAGCTGTTATGGTTGATTTTTGTTGTTGCATGTGCAAAGTTAGAAAAGGAGGGAACCAAAATTTGCTTCTGTCAGGGGTAAAGGATAAAAAAATGTGAATTGACTTTCAAACCTGCTAGGAGAATTATTACGAGTTTCTTAGTCTTTCTCTAGAAGAGCAGTTGAGTCTTCACCTTGAGTCCCATGGATTGTCTTTGGAGTACATGTTACTCCAAGTCAGTTGGCTTATATGGAAAAATATTAGGAGGAAAAATGCGAATAACTTCTGTGGTGTAGAAACAATTCCTTTGGGAAGTCTTTTAATTGTGGTGTAGAAACAATTACTGTAACTTTTTGGAATAAGGGATCAAGATGGTCCTCGACGTCGACCACTAATTTGTTGAATATGTCAAAGATCTGCCGAGTTGAAGTTACAAGGGCTTTTTTTAAAATAGGCAGAGGTGCTCTTCCTATAGAAATATGATAGAGGCTTGATTGAATAATTTTCTTCCTTTTTATTTGAACTAAGTGTGAAAATCACAAATTGGATGCCTTGTCTATCAATCCTATCAGTGTCTTGAACATAAAGGTATTCTTGGAGACTTTGCTTCAACATGGAAAGTGGAAATAATTCCATGTCAATTTGTACATCTGTTTGGCGAACAGCCTCATTGATTTAATAGGGCCAAGGCAGTGCAGAAATCACAAGTTGCTATAGAAACCAGTCATCTCTGAGTGTCTACGCTTCCATTTTTTTGTAGAGTATTGCATCCTGAAAGTCTGCATTCAACGTTGTGGTGAAGCAATGAGGAGCTTGAATGTAAAATTTAGGGGGCCACAATCAAAAGGTGAAAAGGGATTTAAGAAGTTAAACAAAACAAAGGGCTAAGTCAAAATATATAATATTTTTGAGTGGGGGCAACATTGTACAAATTGGAAAATCCTTAAATGTTGAGGCAAACAAATTTGGAAATTCAAAAGTCTTTTTTTTTTTTTTTCTTCCTCTCCTGCGGGGCGGTGGTTATGTAAAAATTTGAATGCCCATTCTCATTATGGAGTTCCCCTTTACTGAAGTTGCTGGAGCTTCTTTCACAGTTTAAACTACCATTTTTAGTCTTTGCGTCAAATTTGTATTTCATTCTTGCTGTATTATGTCAAATAAGGTGACTGATATATCTTTTTATGTAGGTTGTCACCTGTGGCAGTATACCTTTGGAGTCATCTTACCAGAGGGTATCCAGATGTGTATATGTTTCAACAGAGTTGTATGAATATAAAGGGTTGGGTGGAAAGTCTGCCCATTCAAAGCACCGTTTTTTCTCATGGGGATCCAGACATTCAGAGGTTAGTTTGCTGAGTTCTTCATGTTGATCTGTCCAACTATTGATGTGAAAAACAGTTTAGAAAATAATGATTCAGCTTCAGCTCATGGCACTTGGGTTTTAGTTAACGAAAGAACGATTTGCTCAATTCACTCTAATGCCTTGATTCCTTTGATAATGTAACTGTGGTTTAATTTTGTGTACATTATTTACTATAGTTAATTTTGCTAGTTGCAACGTTTCAGTTTTTGTTTTCCCACGTTCTGTTCTGTTTTTTTTTTTTTTTTTTTTTTTTTTTTTTTGGGTTAGAAAGCCTCCTAATTCAGCATTGTTTGACGCATTGCTTCTGGTGAACAGAAGTTTGTTGCTGATTTTTACATATCAGATTTCCAATCTGGGCTAAGAGCACTAGTAAAGGCAGGCTATGGAGCTAAGGTTGCTCCATTTGTCAAGCCAGCTACAGTATTGGAGGTAAAAAGGAGAACAAAGACTTGTCTCCCAGCTTTTTACGCTGGTTAGCTGATCGCAACCTCTCCAGTGATGACCGGATTATGCGTCTCAAAGAAGGGTATGGCTTAAGAAGAGGGTTTAACGAACTGATTCCTTGATTCCTTGACAGTTGTAGTGAGTTTTCTCCGATGAATACTTCTAAAATATGTCTGCATCTCAGGTATATCAAAGAAGGAAGCACTGTAAGCGTGATGGGTGTTGTTCGACGACATGATAATGTGCTGATGATTGTTCCCCCACAAGAGCCTGTATCAACAGGTTGTCAGTGGTTCCGATGCCTCCTCCCAACTTATGTTGAAGGCCTTGTTTTGACATGTGATGATAATCAAAATGCTGATGTGGTTCCCGTGTAGATATTTTGCTGTTCATCTTAATCTAGGTTTTCTGTTGAACTGGATTTCACAAGTAAATATTTGAAGGGTGCCAACCAAGCCAATCAATCATCAAGCACCCCCAAACCACTCTGTACCTATGCTTTTCAGGTTTTAAAGGAGCTTGTAAATGACACAGAAGTTGGAATGAAGAGCACAAGTGATCAAGCATAGTCTAGTATTTATGTGCTGGGGATGGAGAATATTATGCAAAGGGGGCAAAAGAATATACCCTACAGACGAAGCTGAAAAATGTTGTATTGTGGTAGTACTACGCCTTTGATTTTGGCTGATTTGTGTACATAAAGTCCCAGAGCTACCCTAAGGGGTAACAAAATTGTTGCTTTCTTCTGAACTAAAATCTAGCAAATGCCCTGTAATTGTGTTTAGGCTCCTCTGAAAAGTTATTGAGCTTCAAGTGTGTTTTTGTATCTGGATTGCTTTTTTTTCCTCGTCTGGTACTAAGGGGCAAATTAGGGCTTGGGATTGCTTGTATTGTGAAGATGACATCCATCGTTAATATTCTGCAGTGCTCTGTAGTGTATTAAATTCAAGGGGCAATCACTGTAATAGCTAATGTACCTTTCCGATCTTCTGCAATTTTCATACAAGTGCGCATACATGTAAACAAGTTCAGGACACTTCCATTATTGCAAGTCGATGTTTTTCATGCATCAGAACATACATCGAACTCTTTTTCAAGAATTTTGTCATGATATTTGCACTTAACCACCCACCAACATATAATCAAATTGGAAAAAGTTGGACAATGGAGAGAGAGTTAGAAATCGTCACCAATGCATCCTTTAATCAAAACTTGAAGCCAAATACCAAAAGGTGGGATCGTATATAGCGAGGCATTATTAGGGGTGAGCATTCGATTAAACGATTCGGTTTTATACGATTCGATTTAGTTTTTGGTTAATCGAATTAAAAAAAATAAAAACTAAAACCGAACCGAAATAAATTCTGTTTGTAACCGAATTATTTCGGTTTGGTTTCGAAATATTTCAATTTTAACCAAAATATTTTGTTGTAAAAAAAAAAAAATCATTACGAGAGAGATATTTTGTACTAGCACTTAGTCCACTAGCCAATAAAGTAACATCTTGTTATCAATTAATCCTTTTTATAAACAATCATAAAGCCCTTGAAGATTTTAATTAAGCTTTAATGAAAACGAGTACAAGTGTAATAAATTTGCTTATTCAAACACGATGTATCCTAATTAATTACACTATATCACTTTCTTTTCTTACCCAACGGTCTTCAAAATTTACTTTCCATCCGTGTGTTTAACTTTCAACAAGAATGAAGATTGAAAAGTTAAGGATTTAGAAATTAGAAAATTTTTTACTATTTATTTCGGTTTTTGATCGAAACCGAATTTTTTTCCTAAAAACCGAACCAAACCAAAATAATTTCGGTTTTTTAGATTCGATTTTATATTGTATAATTTTATATTTAAAACCGAACCAAATTTTATAATTCGGTTCGGTTTTATTCGATTTTCGATTAACTGAACCGTTTGCTCACCCCTAGGCATTACATTCTACCATGGAAATAATCTTATGAAGGGAAGCAATTATGAGTTCCTCTTATTACGTTCTGTTATATTAGACTCGATTATACCAGGAATATCACGTACATTGAAACAACGTCAATTTGCCAAAAAGAAAAAAATGAATAAAGAGCATCAACGTAAATTTTTCTTATTATGAATTTATTGATGTAGGTTATAAGCTGGTACTCTGAAAAATCAAACACATGCTTCTTATTCGGGTAAACTTTATGAGTGGGGAACTACAGTCTGGATGGCATCCCTCCAGCTACCACCAAAGTTTCCCCTGTTATGTAAGAAGCGTCATCGGACGCCAAAAAGGCAGCTGCAGAGGCCATGTCGTCTGTGGTACCGAGTCTGTTAAGCAAGGTCTGATCCTCAATGTTCTTCCTCTACAATAATTACCAATCCAATCGAGTCCAAGACAGGTCAACAGCGGTTCTTTTTTGAAGTTATTGAAACAACTCAAAGCCAGAAATGTACACTTACAATAGTCTGATTGCCTGTAATGTAATCAGCAAAGTGTGTTGGCACAAACCCAGGAGCTATACAGTTCACACGAGTGTGAGGAGCCATCTCAGCTGCAAGCACCTACAAAGTATTGAGAAAGTATTGTGCACAAAAAGATTAGAAACAAAAGCATGATGTATCTCCATATTATCCAGAAAGACTAAGAAAATATGTGTGTCCAAGTAAATTCATTGTTCGTGAAATATAAGACAAGAAAATCAGATTTTTTTTTCTTGACTTTATTGACCTGACCAGGAAAAACTACACAAGAAAAGAAACACACACATGCTACAGCTTATCTATAACAAGAGATTGGCTAAAAGAAGGGCAAATGTCTGTTCTATCAAACAAGGGTAACAACTTTAAGTTCATCATCATATTTCAGTAAGTTTGAGTTTGTCAAGTTCTTGATGAAACAGAAATGAAAGAAAAACACAAGTGGACAATACCTTGGTAAGCCCAAAAAGGGCCGTCTTTGTGACCCCATACATAGCCATTGAAGAATGTGGATGGTAGCCACCAATAGAGGAAATCAGAATAACTGAAGAACCTTTCTTCATGTGAGGGGCCGCATCCTGCAAAGAAATGGATATCAAATAGGATCTATACTGCAAGATGACAACAGTGCATGGAGACTAAGTGACCAAGTGAATAGAATCAGGAAAATCTAGCAGCAGAAACAACAAAAGAAATATCACAGGAAAAACAGCTCAACAACAAGATGTTAACCATCTTAGCTGCACCCAAAAGCACAATGTCCCAATAGTGTGTCCTAGAATGACATTTTCATATGGACTTCTATACGTAAACCTTTTGTTAGCAGAAATTACCTTCAGAAGGAGGATAGTGGCTTTAACATTAATTTCCCAGAGTTTATCGAGGACAGATTCTTGTGTTTCCAAAATGGAATCGGTAGATGGATTGACAGCAGCATTGGATACAATAACGTCTATCTTTCCATATTTCTGAAACCAGAACCAGTAGCTTTCTATGAATTGAGATGACTATATAATCAAACACAAAATATCCTCCTCCTGAGTTCATTGAGAACAAATGCTCTCAGGAAAAAGCTTGCAACTACATCAAAGTACAGCTTAAACAACCAAATAAATAGAAACATAACACATGCACAGAAAAGAGAATAAGAAGGCCAAATGGCTAAACATCTGGCAAACAGGGTGGTAGCAGGTCATTTTAAGAGAAATCACCCAATATTTTCCTCTGCAGTATTCCTCTTGCATCTTGCACAGTCACCCTACAATACAATGGTGGATGAAGAAGAATAACCAAAGCCTTCAGTTTGACAAGTCTAACAAATAGTCGATATACACAGCACCATATTGAGGCCCCTCTTCGTGCGACCATTTCTAAACCATGTTAATTAGACACTGATTCCCTTTCCTGGTTACTTGCATACTATAAGAAACAAAACTTACTTCCTCACCTGAACAGTACTCTCTATGAGACTCTTCCTCTGTTGTGCATTTGACACGTGACAGACGACACCCAACACTTTGATGCCTTTACCTTCGAGTTTCTCAACCGCCTCATCTACATTTTTCTGGATCAATTCAACAAAACACCAAAAGAAATTACATCCCAGCAGTAATTCAAAGAAAAAGCCCGTATTAGTTACTGCTAGGAAAAAGCATTAACAAAGCTAACTTTAGTACTTCAGTTTTCAAAAGATCTTGCGATCAAATAGAACTAAAAGCTCAATGTAGATGTATAAAAGATGGGAAAGGATGACATTTGGATGTAGCAAATTATGTATTGATACGTAGTCATTAGAGAGACTAATGTGCTGTGATTTTGTCACTTAGCAGGGTAAACCGTTGTTTTCTTGTAGGAGTTTTGTACTGATATATGATTGTAGCAAAATGTATTTTGAGAGATATGGATTATGGAAACTCAGTCAATTAAATTATGAAATTCCTCTCTCTCTCACGTGTTCTTGTTTCTTTCTTTCCCTCCTTTTGGTACCATATTCTTTTCTATACCTCCTTTTGTTCTTACCCATTTTTGACAAACAACGCAGTATTGATTCTCTAAAGGGATCCTATGTCTTGGCCTTAGACTAAATCCAATTCAAAGTGTTGAATTAAGGTCTTTTAACTAAGCAGGATTTGGCAGATCCTTGCTGTTCTTAAAAAGAAAAAGATTTAAACCATTTTAGGTGAAGTCCAGTCCAAAGTTCATATATTTCCTCAATTCCAATACTAACAGAAACCAAAGAAAGCCTAAACAATCAAAATTCAAAACAGCAAAAGAAACCCAGATTGAAAAAATCAATCTTGATCCCTAAAAAACAAGAAATCATATGATAGAGAAAAGAAGGAAATGTTAAGAAGAAACCAAAAAAAAAAAGGAGTACCTGCTTGCGAGAAGAGATGACAACAGAGGCACCTTCCAATCCAAACCTCTCAGCAATAGAAAAGCCTATACCTTGTGTTGAAGCAGTCACAATTACCACTTTCCCTTCAAATCTCTTTCCGCTAATAATCTTACTACTCATCTTCCCTGCTCCAATCTCTCTCTCTCTCTCTCTCTCTCGCGATCGAGTTTACAACCACCAAACGAGACAAGACAAGCTTAAATAACAAAGTTTAAGTTTTTACTGCACAATATTATGATTAATGAGATAGATTAGTGCCATTAAAGAAATAATATGGACGAGATGACACCTTCTGTTCTGCAATTTGATTCGCACCGTTGGATGTTTATGCTTTTTTGTGCATTGGTAACATCGTACAAACGATTTGCTTGCTTATTTTGACATTTGTGCTGTGCTGTTTCAGACCACAACACTTAATAATGTTAGATTAATTCGGTTCTTACTTTTATCTTACTTCGATCCTCTTACTATTTTTGGTTTACTTTCATCCCCTGTTCGCGTTCTCTCTTTTGTCAGGATCCTCAAAGACCGTTAGGATGGGTGTCATAATTAAAATTATATCTTAGTGTCATCCTTTATTTTTTTGATAATATAACCGTATTAAATTTGAATATTAAAAATCAATATATAGGATAATTTATTCCTATAGATATACAGGACTAATATAGAAGTGCGACCATAAGATCATCCAAAAAAAAAAAAAAATTGAAATTTAATTTAGGTTGATGTACAAATTAGTCCGAAAACACTTCAGATCGTGAAATAAAAAGCAAAAAGGATGGATGACATTAGATAACCAATAGAAGAAGAAGGACCAAAGTAAGTTAAAATTGACATACCAAATGGTCAACACACAATCAACTCATCATTACTATCATGCGTTATATGAACGACATGTCATCTACAAGAAACCACTAGTTGCGATCAATCATTTACCTTTTCACACATAATGACGCATGCATGCACGATGTGTATCTTACCTACACCTTTTTGCCCCTTTTCTATTTATCAAAAGCCAAAAGAATTTTTTTAAAAAAAAGACTAAATGATTTATTTATAAACAAGGATTAAATATATAATTTCTAAAACCACAAGGGATAAATAATTAATTTTGTTAAACTATAAGGATTAAGTTATAGTTTACTCGAAATAATTTTGGAACTGCCAGCATATTAAAAAAATATATATTTCGATTCACGACAAAAGAATAAGATAAGACAATTAAATATCAAATTAATCAAAACAATAAATGAATATTCGTGGAATTATCTTGTGCTTGCTCAAAATCCAAAATTTCGGCAAGGCATCATCCCTTCCAATCATGCTCCAAATCCAAAACTGAGAAGCTTTTCAGAAAAGCTCCAAATGTTATATTACTAACAAGCATGTTATAAAATATATTTACACAAATATCAGAACCAACATCACAGCAACCTCGCATCCTGTTTCATTTTTGGATTTGTTTTGAAGCACACTTTATGCATAAGGATTCCTAAAACCTTTCAAGAGCTCTGGGATTTCATAGCCAAGCATATCATCAACAGCTTGTATCATCTTAGGCTTCAGTTTCTCAAATTTGTCAATGTTGTAACCATTCAAGACTTCCTTGAAGTGTTCCACATTTGGAAAATCTCCAGCTGGTAAATGAAACTCCCTCTGGACCTGCTTTCCGAAAAACAAATTGGCGTTTACTAGATAAAAGAGGGAAGGACGAACAGAGAAAAAAGGCCAAGAGAGAAGTCTACCTTTGCAAATTCATCTTCAAGATTATCGATAAGCCGTTGTTGAGTCTTAGCCTTGCCCATTATAGCAGGCATCTCCTTCTTAAGATGGCTAATTATGTAGGCATGGATCTTGGCAGCTCTAGCACGCTTTACAAACTCATTAATCTGTAAGATCCGAATACCATTTCAACATTAACTAGCTAGTAAATGTTATAACAGCCCAGGGATTAAGATATATAAGGATACACAAAGCATGCATTACAGAAAGACATGAGTACAGATTAGCCACACGCACAAAACAATGAAAATCACATACAGATATAATGTCAGGATAACAAAAAACCACAAAATTTGAGATGAAAATGTTGAACATACCCGACGATCACAAGCTTTTTTAGGAATATCAACCAAGTCCATGAGAAGGTCATTCTGTTCTTTTTCAAAAAGATCACAGAACATTGGGCTGGCAGTTTCTGCATTAATAGGTTTGTCATTGAATGAGCTGCAAGATGAACAAAAGACCAACTTAGAATATACAGTTGCAAAGAACGCCAGGATCATTTAAATGACATTGCACTTGGGTCGACCATGGAGATATAAGTTCCACAACTGACTGAAATCAAACATACATAAAAGGAAATTCTTGCAGTAAGATGATAAAAAATAAATCAGATGAATATAACAAGAAGAAAAGGCAGCAACAAATGAAATGGACATGGTGGCAACACTTGGGAGAAGTAAAGATTTAAGAGCAAATAAAGTATGAAAGAGAAAGGACATACCCAATATAAACACGCGAAACTTCAGGGGTATTTAGAACTTTTCCAAGTGACCACATGAGCGCCCCGTAAACTCTCATCAACTATGAAATGACGTAAACAAATAAGCAAATTATGTTAAACTCAGTTTTTTAAAGCGAGTGTAGGATAAAACAAGCATCTAACCTGTTGGGTGTCAACTTGATCAGCCTTGTTCAACACAACACGTATCTTGTCATCATTGCCTCTTAAAGATGCAATTACTCGTTTAAACTCATCACTAATATCAAGTTTATGAGGATCAAACAAAAGAAGAATCAGATCACATTTTGCTGCAAACCATGATATAACACCAGTAAAATCATAACTCCTTTGTGTTCGTTGCTTTTCTCCAGAGAGAACCCCAGGAGTGTCAACAATTGTGATTTCATCTAGCAGCTGCATGTGCATCAACAGCAGAAATGGTGATAAATAACAGAACGAGAGCAAATAACAGTTGAACCAAAATATATGCAAAACTACACTTACTGGATGAGGCATTTGTGCACACTCAAACTTTGATAAGAATGCTCCTCCAAAACTTGTTAGGCCACTAAATGGCATATCTGCCTGAACAGCAACAGTGTTCCCAGGTATGCTCCTTTCATCAGATCCAGACTGAGTTTAAAAAGACTGAGTTAGCGGAAAAAATGATAAAAAAAAGAAAGACTGAACATCCATCATCAAAATAAAATGAAGCAATCATAATGATTATCATCAAATCACAAGATTGTTAGCAACTCAAATGATGGGTTACTCAAAGACTTTTGGCATATTGGTATGAGCTTGAAAGATGTTAAACATGAGAAGTCAAAATCAAGATAACAATTCCTTCTTCATTTAGAAAAATGTCAGCCACATTCCAACCTCCAACCACAAGATTAAATTTAGACAGTTTAAATCTGCATTTGACTTCCCTAAAGTTTTTTAGCATAGAAAAACAAAGCCCAAACAGCTCCAGATCACATCCATGATGAAATCAAGGATTTGTTACAAAATTTGTCAGTCCTTTTGATTGCTTTCAGATTAAAACAAGAGCATGAAAATGGTTATACCATTACAACAACAAATCTGTCAGTTGTTGGCTCTGGTCCAATGTGAGCTCCTGCCAATAAAAAGAATATGAAAAAAAGCAAGACAAATTAACATCGCTGACTGAAGAAACTTAACAATTAAAAAGGAAAAGAGAAATGGTAGTACTAGACAAACCTGGATAGTTACATCTAAGCAAGTGTTTTATGAACGTTGTTTTCCCAGTGGAATACTGACCCAAAAGCATAACCATAGGTCTGGCATCAAAATCACTGTTCATCTAAAAAATAAACATATACAGTTAGTTAAGTAGCATTGAAACCAAGAGAAGAATCAAAGGGAGAGAAAACAAGAGGGGAAAGCAAGAGATAAGCTACTGAGTGAAATTAACATTCAACTATCAACTTTTAATCAGTGTATTAATATTCATTAATTGTTTACTCCAATTATCTTTATTTTGGGCATAGAGAATGGTAATGATGGGCCAGCTAAAGTTGCACCCTGTAGTGCAAATAAAAAATAACCATAATGCACACAAAAGCCTTGCAAGTTGCGACTCAAATAAAATGATATGCCTAAGTTGTATATGTGTGTAGGCATTGAGATGCTATGTCACCAATTGATTTATAACCAAGACGGAGAATAAACAGACCAGCTTTTATGACTTGCTAATAAGAAAGGGTATACGAAAATTTCAAATCACATAGAATTGTCAATGTTGAAAGAGTCAGTAAAATCAAATAACATAAAATATATGCACAACCACTCACCAATACAGGGGAAACAAAATCATTAAAACGATATGCAACTTCCAATGGCTTCAGCTTTTCTGTATACAATCTTTTCAAGCCATCTATAATGGATGTAACTGCATTGAGCGGCATCTGAGAAAAAAAGGAATGAAACAGAACTCATCAAAAAACAAATCAAAGACACAACCATTCATCAAGGGACAAGTAGGAACTAGTTGATCTAGCATATTGCTATATGTAGACAAGTAAACATTATATTTTCAAAAATAGATAATAGAGACATTTGCCAAGCTTCTCATGCCACAATATAAATGGGCATTCTTCTGACATACAATATAGTGCAAGAAAATCATAGGGACAAAACCTTCATTATTGTCTAGGAAACAAAAAAGGAAATCCTAAAAGCAATGAAAAGCATGATCAGTCTTAAACAGCATCCCTGCAAAGATGTCCACAATTACTAAACAGAATAACTTAAAACGGTCAATAGAAAAGAGGCTGACAACACACAGCGAGAAGAAAACAATGCCAAACCAAGCACAGATATAAGTTTCGTTTATGAATGATGACTCATTGGTACATGTGGCTCACTTTTCTTGATGATTTCGGACCGAATTGTGGAGTGCCTGATGATAGCCGTGGCTGCATGGATCCTACATCATGACCATGAACCAATTTAACTAACAATCAGGGCAGCCAATGACACAGAAGTTAGGAAATATCTTACCATTGATCTCAAGCACGCTACTTATTGTTGAACTCTTATTTTTCTGGAGAAAATAGAAAGAGTAATGAAAGAGGAATTTTTAGCTCATCCAAATAACTCAAGCATAAGAAAATGAGATAAAGCAGACTGCTTACCACTAGTAAGGCATCAATGCCTTCCAATGATGGCAGCTTGATATCCTCCATGTTAGCTGTGAGATCAACAAAAATAAAAAATAAAAAATAAAAAAACAAGAAAGAAGTTGATAAAAAGATACAGTACTTAAAGCGCAACCACCAAACTTTCTGTTTTCTAACACAAGGTGCAGCTATGGTGCTCGGCCACTAACATGAAGAGATAACAAAGGGCACATAAATCCCTAAGTTGTAAATACGATACTAAAACATCACAAATTCTAAGCCGACCTACTCTAATATAATAATAAAAATATTAGTGTATGCAAAACTATAAGGCTACAAAGATAATTCACTCCATAAATCAAATTCCGAAGCATTTACATGTTTTTTTAATGGGTTTTATTAATCTGTGATGGGAACAGCAAAAATCAATTCAAAGATGACATTTCACGCTCTATATCATAGAAAGTGCTGCTACGTATACAAGAAAAAAGAAATCAGAATAGAATTGTACGCAAGTGATTCGAATATACATGCGGTTTTAATAGTCTCTGATGTTACTTCATGCCCTGCTTGCGCCAGAGAAACAAGCTGCAATTCATAAATTAAAAGTAAGACTCTCACGCTTTATCATCGTATTATCTTAAATAAACACAGAAAATTGAAGGATCCTGTACGGACCTGCATAGCAGTAACGAACTCTGTAAACCCTAAAAACCCTTGTCGTTTAGAATCCGCAAGTGCCCAAATCTTCAACAAATAAACCAATTAGTAACACGAAAAACAAAAAAATAATAAAGTTAGTACTTACTTGCTTGAGTTCTTGTCGAGAAAGATTGGACATAGAGAAAAACTTGGTAGCATCATTTCCAGTGATACGCCCATCTCCATCTAGGCATTAATTAATCACTTTTTAATTAATTAAGAAAACAAAACAATTAAAAAAAAAAGAAAGAAAGAAAAGAAAAGAGACCTGAATCGGCTAAATCGAACCATTCTTTGTAGATCTGCTGCTGCTCTTTTGAGTATGAACTCATTCCAGTTTTTCCTATCTCCATTTCTCCTCTCCTTTTTCCAATCTACTCCTCTTCTCTCGTTTCAAGGGAAGTGACAAAGGATTATATATAATTACTTTTTTTTAAGAAAAAAAAGAAAAGAAAACTGTTTTAGCCTTTAGGAAATTCAAAATTTGAAATTTGAGAGAAGTTTTTTTGGTTTGTTTGCTCTCTCTTTCACACTTCTGGTTTGGCGCTCAGGTGTATTTTCTTATACGCCACCGTTTTAAAACGTTTCTGTGAAAAGACGTGTTGTCTATTTGTCATATTATATTTATTGTGGCATGTGACCGTGATTATCGGCGTTACTAATCGTCATTTTCGGACGTTTCATTTTATTCGTTTTTAAGATGGGCAAGCTGATGTAACCATGATTTTACACAGCAGTTGATCAGATTTATTTTTTGGTTTTACTCGTATTGAAAATATTATTTAGATTAAAATCAATAAAATTTAATTACTTTCAATACATATTATAAAATCAGGTTGTTTATTATTAAACCAACAATTAAATCAATTTCTACGCCATTCCAGCATTAATTTCAAAACAAGATAGTAATAAAAACACAGAGCAAAGAGATAGATAATTAGCGCATGCAATTAGTTACTAATTACACACCTCCAAATCCATGCATGTGGCCGTGAAAACTAGTAAAACGTAAAACCAGGGAGATGCGAATATTTAATCCATGCATATAATCCTCTATATATGACAAAACACGAAATATATAGCTATCAATACCCTTCATCTGCACCAAATCTATGAATCGCATTGAGCCCAGAATCCAAAGCGAAGAATTTGGAAGGAGAGTTGCTTGCCTTCTCCAACTCATCAACCCTAATACCAACATTCTTTTTAAGCTCTTCCATTGAAGCCACATACTGCTCAAGCTCCTCCAATCCCATCTCTTCTATGCTTAGATCCCACCAAAACCTATCCAATCCAAACCCAACTTTCCCGCCTTCTTTCATCATCATCTCCACTCGCTTCTTTGCCTCCTCCTTCTTTGCAAGAGCCTCCACATATTGCTCCCTGCTCTCCTGAACCACTCGATCACATCGGCTAGCAGTACTTGTATTCACTGATCTTCCCTCGTTTGTATTTTCCCTTATGTAGCGGTCTATAACGGCGTCGACTGAGGGATAACCAAAAACGAAGGCCTTCTTTCCCGGAGAGAATACAACAACTGCTGCCTCGGCTCCGGTCAGGACACACAGCTCACTGGCCTTGTTAAAAAGACCACTGCGACGCTTTGTGAAAGTAACTTCTAGGGAGCTTTTGTTTGTTATTTTCTTTATCTCAATCTTTTGGCGGCCTGTGCTTTGCTTCTTCGCTTTGGTGGCCATGACCTTGATTAATTAGCTTGGAAGAGAATATAATTAGGACTTAGGGTTGAGAAGGAATTAAGAAGCAATAAATATGATTACGGAGTAAATGCTGGTGCTGTATTCATGAACACAGAATATATTTTAATTATACTATATAGCTAGCATTAAAGGAAGCTAAATCTTAATTAATTTTACAAGTCTGTGAATATATATTTTTAATTATTAAGAAAGATTCTTTTCCCTTTCAACTTTAGGAAGCAATAACGTTTTTTTTCCATTACCTTAGATATAGCTTTGGGTGTTAAGATTATAGATCGATCTCTAAGTTTAATTTGTCATTTTTATCTTGCATTCAATGATTTAAATTAAAATTTTGTATTGATGTCATCCAGATTCTCAATTAATTAGAAATTTCATCTATTTTATAAAGCTTGCATCTATTTTTAAGACTTTTTGTTTATATCTGTAGAAAAATGACGCCATTTGGTAGAAAACTTAACATTCTTTTTAAAGTATTTTTAACAGAAATCCTTAATTGATAAATCATAATAATTTAGTAGCAAAATTGATTAAAAATTAAAAGAAAAGAATTCGGCGACCATTACATTCATTAAATTTAAATTATTAAATTGAAATTGAATGATTAAAATTTAGTGTAGGATAAAAATAGAAACAATTTAATTCTTTATTATTCATGATAAAAACTAATTAATGCCTTTAGGGAACCTGTTAATCATTATCTAAATGCATTTATTTTAATTCATTTATTGCCGGATTAAGATAAAAAAAGAAATAAAAATAAAATATTTGAATGAAAATAAATATTATATATGTGTGTGTGTGTGTTATTTTATACATATGATAGTATTTTTAAGTTCTCACAATAAATTATACAACTAAAATGTAATGCAATATTAATTTAGAGTATTAAATTACTCTTAATAATGTCCCGAGGACATCCCTTAACCAAATGCTATTTATATTTAAATTGAATTCACTTTCTAATTTCTGAATTAAATTTCTAAGAGTTTATTTTAGAATTTAGACATTGAATTAAAAATATCTTCATTTCTAAATTCTATTTTATTTTTCTGATTTAATTTAAATTATTAAATTTAAAAATTCATGATGAGATCGATGTGAAACATAAACAAGTTATATTCCTTTAATAACATGAGAATATATTCATTATACCAAACTTGACCGCTTTTTGAGTAGTGAGCGGAAGCCGATTAAAGAAAGATCTAAGGGTAAGAAAATTATTTTAATTTATCTAAGATTAATGGTTAATTTTTATTATTTACAAATAACTAATTATAATTATTTCTTAGTAGTATTAAATTTGGATTGGTTTAACTTAAGAAACGATCCAACGATCGATTAAAAATTAAGCATATTTTAATATTGACTTCCTTAGAAAATGATGTATTTAGTTTCTATTAATGTAAAAAGTGATTTAAGGATAATATATATATATATATATATATATAGTGTACTGATTTAAGGATAATAAACTACTATACATATATAAGTAGGAAGTTCTTGAGGGAAAAAAATATTTACCGAGTAAACAAAAATTCATTAAAGTGTCATCTATGCTTTATGTCTCTTCATTTAGAAAGTAGAGAGAAATTAAAGAGCTTGTAGTTTAGTGGTAGTAATTTTTTGTAATAAGAGATCATAGATTTAAATTATAGCAGATTAATTCTATTAATATATTTTATATTCAAGAAATATATTAAATATAGTAAATATAATTTTTTTACAAAAACCAAGTGATAAATCTGATGGAACTCAAATTTGGATTTAGATCCAAATTTAGAAACAAGATTCACAGATTTGAGTCAACTCGTTTTATTAAACAAGCCGTATTCGGATCTACTATAATCCAATTTGAATCCGATCCGATAATAGTCATATTAAATCTAATGTTTTTTTTGTTTTTGGTTTAAATATGTCGTGTTGAATCCTTTAAATGATTTTGATATGTAATAATTCGTCTACAAACAATGTCCGTAATCTGTAACCCTTTCATTCATCTTCCTAAGTAAAAACTGTTTAGATTTACCAATCAATGTTAGTTGACTCAAATGAATGAATAGGGTAGATCTTGCCACTTTCTGTGGTTGATAAGTAAACACAAATATAACATAAAATTCTTAGAAAATTAATAAAAGTTAAATAAGAAATACTTTATGATAGTTATAATTGTAATTATGCAATATAATAAGACATAAATTTGATTTTCCCTTAAATCTTAAATTTTTATATTTTCATGTAATTTGAAAAGAAAATAAATAAATAAATGATTTATCTCTCTTGACTTGTTTTCTAACGATGAAAAAATATGATAGCTTTTATATTTCTTTTTTCTTTCTTTTACTTTTTCCTTTTATTGTAACTTAAACGATTGAGAGAAAACTAGACTCATCTTTTTATAATATCAATCGTAGTCTTTCATAAATTAAGACTTATCATTTATCATAATTAATTATATACACTTTAAATGTCATGTATGATCATCAATACATATATCATAATCAATTTTATAGCTTACTCCATAACAATTATATTTTTCAAATAATAAAACTAAATCAAATTAAAAAGTAAATAAACAAACTGAAAAATAACTAGAAAGTAATTGAAGATATAAAGGGTTTTTAACCAAATTAAGTTTCTTGCTAGTTGGGGTATGGAATTTGTGGAGGGTGGATTTGGTGGAATGGCAGCATATATGTATAATTTCTGGCTATCCACTTGAAACGTAGTCTGCCTATCTGGCAATAAAAAACAATTGGATCAGGCTCAATTTGCCTTCGGCAATATTCTATGCGTGTTATGGCTTGTAAAAGGGATTAATTGTTGCATTCTAGTTGCATTCTAAACATTTCAATTGCTATGAATTTAAGGTGGATGATTTCAATCTCATCAAATATCATGATCGAGTTGATTTTGATTTAATTTGGTTGATATTCAAGTTACCCTACTTATATTTATTTAGGTGGATGATTTGAATCTCATCTAATATTTATTACATTTTAATAAATTTTGTAATAAAAATTATTAAATTATATGTTTTCGATATTTTTTAGAATTTTAAAATGAGGATAGGAAAAAAAAATTTTAAAAGGAAATTTCATTAAATAGTGATGGTCCATATTGATCGTCGCAAATTTGCAACGGTTTTAGCGACGACTTTCCTGGACTATCACAAATTTCCCTCCCTTAACTACCATAATTCTGTGACGGTTTTTGAAAAATCTACGACTAATTTGTTCAGTACTAAATTAGAAACGAGTCTTAAACCGTCGTAAAAATTTAATGACTCACATTTTAACAATGATTTTCGAATAGTTGCAAAATCATCACTAAATAAAATTAGTTACGGTTTTTCTGTATTTAGCGACAGTCTAAACCGTGACGAATCCAATTTTTTTTTCTCTATTAACCAAACATCTTGAATAAATAGATAAGTATTAACCTTAATAATTGTCATACAAACTTTACTCATTAAGAAAATATCAATCATTGAATGAATATTTTATCCATCAAATAAATAAATTTCCTTTATAACTCTCATAAATTCAATGAATGATATTTTTTGGCAAATGAATTATGTAAAACAATTATATAATTACTCATTCTGTATAATAATATCCTAACCAAACGCTAACTGAGATATACCTTCCTCTTTTTGAGAGATGCGAAAGTGTAAAAAATTCTTCAATAAAAAAAAAAAGAAGCCCATCAGGCATCTGCAGTATATATGTATGATGGGTGAACCCAAGTTATTGATATCGGGAATTAGCAACATTATCTGTAAAGAAAGATGGGTTCATTTTCCGTTTTCTGGGTAGTGGTTTTGCTTGTGATCAGTGCAAACTCTGTGCATGGCAGCGATGTATGTACAGGCTTGCCTGGATTGCTCAACTGTGCCCCATTCTTGTCTGGTGGCGTCTCATCACCTGATGCTAGTTGCTGTAAATCTCTTAAATGGTTAACTCAAAATTCTACCAAAAAGGAAGACAGAAGGGAACTCTGTAAATGTTTGAAGGTTGAAGATTTGAAGCGTAAGGGCATTATCCTCGATAGAGCAAAAGTCCTCCCTAGCCTGTGCCAAGTCCAGCTCCTAGTGCCACTCATAACCGATGATGATATAAACTGTGACAAGTAAACATTGATATTGATATCGTTTCTTCTCTTTCCCTTTTTCATTTATTCAAGCTTGAACTAACTGATTCTCATTCTCTTCTCTTCCCATTAATTTTTCTCTGTGAATGGCGCAGGATAGAAGCTGGTATGGATTAAAGATGTTTGCTTAATACTAAAGGAAGAAACTTCATGCCTACATACTTCAGAGCCTTTCCTAGCCCATTGCATATATACCAGTAGAAATTAATAATGCCCATCTCTTTTTGTGCTCTCAAAATTTATGGAGATATTTCAATGATATTCTGATATGCTTGTTGCCTGCTTTAACTAGGGACTGATCACATATGTGATCATAATATTTTATAGTAATTGATCTTCCAATGTAGAAATTGAAAATGCAACTTAGGGTTAATGAAGAAGAATAGACTTAAGATGCATTTTGCAATATACGAGGTATTTGATGCCATTATCAATGTTATCCTTCATCGAATATTGCACATAGAGATGGCAATGGACTAGGTATAAAACGGATACCCATTTCATCTAGTCTAATAAATATCCTTTTTATCATCAACCACACGTTATCCTTCATAGATTGCACATAGAGGTGATAATGGGCTAGGTAATTGATCTTTGACGCTTCTCCTCCTAATAATTTATTCTTCTTTGTTACGTACAGGAATATCCAAGCTGCTAAAGACTAAATTAAAGATGTTTGGTCTTAATAAAAGAACAAACTAGACAGATTGGCATCAGTAATTAGCTACAGATTTGGTTTTGTTTTGTTGGGGATCAGAAATAGACCGAAAGAGATTCCCATATGGGGTTTCTTGTTTGGTTAGTAAAATCGACCATAGTTCCATGAGATCAAGGTTTTGATAGGAGAATTAAGACTTTACTTACATCCAGTAAAATTAATATGAATCTTACTGAATGAAATTGAAATCGGAACAGAGTGAACCAAAAATGGAAGCAGTGGAAATAGCTATGTATGACTATGGCAATGGAGGGAGGATTTTCAGATTAAAAATGAGCAGAAAATGTGCAATTAATTGGGTCTCAAGCTTATAGTCTGACTCATTGAAACTCACTGCTGAAACCTTTAGTCTGCAACAAACATCACGATCGGAAAATGCTGCAAAATAGACCCAAAAATATGGTATAGACAGCCTCATATAATAAGTGATTTGTTCAAACCAAAATTTTCTCTAGCAGAAAAACCTTAGGAAGGAAAACATAAACGACAAAACAGTTTGATAAACCATAGGAACTTGTTTTATTATATTCATTTACAGACAACCAACGAGAAGAAAAGCTAGACAAGCACCTATGGTAAGATTGAGGACATGAAAATGAAAAATCAAAGCAACTTCTAATATTATATATAGGAGCTAGCAGTCCATCAGTAATAAATAGAGTTAATTGGCTGCAATAGAAGTCCATAAAGCTGTGCTAAATCCTAGATTCCTTCCCTTCATCATATGAAATGTCATGCAAAGAATACAATCTGAAATTGTAGAATCCTTGGACACTAATTGTGAAACCATTGCTGCAAGCCATCAAAGGATCGAAACGATCTTCTGCTCTAAAGCAAGGTTGTGTAAGATGCTGAAGTAGCCACCTAGTCCCTCATTTCCCTTGGAAAGAAACAGCAACAGAACTGCATGGTAGGAGTATTTTTTTCATAAATAAGACAGAAAATGGAATCATAGCAGATGAGAACATTGAAGTTTGTAAGCTTTTAAGCTTTTAATTAGATTTGAAATTCTCTTCAATAACTTGTACTTCTGCTGCATACTCTATAATATCTAATACGCTACGTACGGTTATGTAGTTGAGCATGTGCATTGCTTACCTTTGATCGAAAGGAAGAATTTACTTGATTTCTTTGACTGTTTGAATAATTTGCTGGTTCGTTTGGCACAGAAGGAAAGGTGGTTGATGCAACTTGTTTTTCCTCTTTCACTCTGTTGAAAATCACAGTAAAACCTTCTCCTGACCTCGGATCTGTTTCATCCCACGCTCCAAATTTGGGAATTGATGCTGCCCTGTGATGCTGTCATCCATCCCCATTGAACTTGAGAAAATCAAATCAAAGTTGCAGTAATAAAGGAGACGACGGTGATGAATTGTCCCTTTTCAAGAAAAAAAAGGAAGGTGAATTCTACAAATATTAGGATGCTAGAAAGAAGACTTACACCATCATGATCAGATGGATGAGTACTTCCACTTCTCAGTCTAGAATGTCTTGATGAAGTCAAGGCTTTATTTCCCTCAGCAGCCAAACCAGTCTTCTTAGCCTGCAACAGTGAATGGTCAGAATTACTTTTCTCACTTCCTGATTCTGATGCGATGCTTCTGAGGTTTTGATGATCCGAAGGGCTTATCCAATGCGCATTGTGCCCTTTGAGTCTCTCACTGTTGCGTTTCTCGGCAGTAATTCCCTCGTAGGAGCCGGAAGCGAAATCAACATCATCTTCCATGTTGCTTCCTCTGGCATGCATGAAAGCCTCTGGATTCTCCTCAGGATCATTTGGGTTCATCCTCACGCCGGATTTCTCTTTGCGTGCGTTTTCAAAATAGGCAGTGTACGGTACATTATCGTCATCCCAGCCGCCAAACTTAGGGACATGGGAACGTTGCTGTGACAGAAAATCATGTGTAAGAATTGGAAAATACTGTTCAAATTTCTTGATTTCAATCTCATATTTACAACCATTGACTAATGCATGTAAATACTTTCAGACTGCAATTTTTTTTTTTTTTTGAAGAATCGATAAGTTTAGATTAAAAGCCAGCAAGAAGGTGGCAGAAAAAATACAAACATAGTTACAAAGATTAAAACCAGACAAGAAACTCCTCTTGTCTGCTAATACTATGTATCTTTACCTAAGCTATCAGCTACAACATTCCTCGCTCAATTCACTCTAGTAAAATAAACAGGTCTCAACTTATTTGTTATACATGAATAAAAATGACCAAAAACTATTAAAAGTCCCAAGTTTTAATGTATAGTTTGTGGAGGGGATGGTTACTGCCAACAAAATCATCTTATACAAAATACCAGTTCAAGCAATGATGATCCGACAGATAGTCCAAGTTTAATCAGAACAAACATATTAGAGTATGTAAAAGATAGAGAAAATCCGAATAACAACAAGCATCATTAAAAGTAAAGAAAAAGAAGATCGAGGAGAAAGAAACCAATTATGATCACTTACGGCCATTGCTCTAGCAGGTAATGTAAAGTGGCTAATTCTGTTGAAGAGATCAAACTCTAGAGAAGGAAGAAAGACAAGAATGATAGTGAGTCTAGCTTGAGGGCAATTAATTTGAAGACGAACGAAACATGCCTAGGAAGCTGCTCTTAAAGTTTGACACAATAATGAATCGATTTTTACAAAGTTTACAAAGCCATGAGAAGGCTATAAAGCCAGTAAAAAAATGAGATAGCCTGCAAGAAATACCGAATCTTTTCCATTATATGTTATGAATCAATCGATTTGTCTTCATCCTTACAACTTTTAATGTTTGTACATATTGTCCTAAACGTTTTTACAAGATAGGAAAACAAGTTCTTAGAATTTGGCACTCTTCTAGATTTACAAATATATATATATATATATGGAGTAACTAACAATATTTCCTTGCTGGAAAACTTATTATAGAGTTGTCATTTGCATGTTTCCTTCATTAGTTTTAAAATTGATAGCAGATAATAGAAGCAAACCACAGAGAAAAAGAAGAGCATTTTAAGATTTTTATTTTATTTTTTTTTCAAAAATAAAAATATATATTTTAAAAAAATTATCACGTGTCAGCATCCTATCCATCTGTTGCTGAAAATTGATACAGCTATCTAAAAATCTAGACCAAGGTACAAAATTAAGATACAAAATAGCAGTAAACAAACATAATTAATGAAAAATTTAATAAAAAAACATAATTAAAACAAATTAGATAGTAGACAGACATCTTGAATCACTAATCCATAAACATTGAGAAGTAATTAGAAACAATAATACCATATTCGATTAAAGATCTTAATTAATGGAGATTAAAGAAAACCTAATATATTCTTTATTCATTTATCGCAATTGTAATCTCAACTGTTTGGATTTATTTCTATGTTGTCATGTTTTGTTTTTGGTAATATCTATATTGTCTTGTTGTATTCTTTATCAAAAGAGGGTCATTGTATCCAACCTACCATCAATAGAATTCTTTCTTATTTTAAAATTCTACAAACAATTGAACCCTTCTATTTTTCAAATGGAATTTTTTAAAAAAAATTAAAATTTTAAAGTAGAGATTTTCTTCCCTCAATGCTCTGATAAACCTTACGTCCCAATATTTATATATATATAAAACCAATGGATTTATAATTTTCTTTTGACTCGACCGAAAACTTTTCTTGAATCTAATTTTGATTAATTCATTGTAATCTTTTTAGTATTTTAGGTATATATAAAAAAAAATTAATGGAGATGAATTATCCAAATTTCTTTATCTAGGAAAAAATAATCTGGTAATGTTTTTTTGAATGGATTAAATGAAAAAGAATTTCGGGTAATTCCGATAATTACACGGTCACACCTAAATATTAAATGAAGGTACTCCTCGACGGAGAAATAGTTTTGGTGTCGCTGTTCGGAAAATCTGAAGGTGGCGTAACGACAGAATTTTCAACCACAGGTTGCAGCCTGGCGGTGGTGCTACTGACCTTTTAGCCCTTTGATTCGTGATAGAGAAGAGAAGTTCGTTTGTTGGGAGAAGCCTCTAGGAGACTCCAGGGTCAAGATCAATACTGATGGACCTATCCATTTGCTTCATTGCTGATTTTTTTGTTTTTATTTTTCACTGCAACTAATATATTCAGCCCTCTATTCTCATTTCAGGCCACTTCAAAATTTCTGAGCTATGGAATGAATTTGTTGTTTTTTTTAAAAAAAAAAAAAAATGGGATCATATTATTTTGTTAGTAGTTATAAATACTTAAAAAAGAGTGCTCAACTAAAAATAAATAATAATAAAAAATCCTATTTTGGTAATGAAAATCCGTAGGCATGCATATATATAGTAAAAGGTAATAAAAACAGAAAAAAAATGAAACTGATTACTAAAAATCAACTATAAAATATAATAGTTTGAGCTATTTACGGTTACATGCAAAGGTAAAATCCAAATAACATTAAAACCAGAATCCATAGAACCCTAAAAAGGCAAATGGCTGGAGGAAATTAGAAGTAAAAAAACATCAGAGCAGTCAAAATGCATTAAAAAGTTTGTCAGCTAGTTAATTAACTAGCCTTTGGAGATTGAAAATGACGCCACTTTCCATGCATACAAATCCAAAACCAGAAAAAAGAAGTGCGGAAGTAACTCCACCCTGAAACATTTAACCCGTGGGCTCATTGCGCTATAAATAGGGAGCTTATGCAGAGTATTCGTCACCAAGCAAGCAAGCCAAGTTCATAGATACAAGTAAAACTAGCATTAGCCTAGAGAGTGAAGGGAGATGGAGAAGAAAATATTGGTGGGTTTGTTTGCTTTTTGGCTAATGATTTCTTTTGTGAGCGTAAACACTACTAGTGTGGCTAACAACATTTGCACAGAAGCCATACCTAAATTGCTCAGCTGCCTCCCATTCTTGATAACTACTGCCCCAGCACCATCTCTTCAATGTTGTGAAGCTGTGGGATGGGCAAGCCAACATGCTACCACCACACAAGACCGTAGGGACCTCTGCAAGTGCTTAAAGAGTGCGGTTCAGGCTTACAAGGTTGATCCTGACAGAGCTAAGCAACTTCCTGGTTTGTGCAAAGTCCCAGTCCCTGTGCCTATCGTGCCCACAATCGACTGCAACAAGTAAACAAATATATCTCTCTTTGTTTGTTTTTTTGATGGATTTATTTATTCTCATGTTGATTTGTTCTTATCCATGGTGTGTGCAGGATCCAACCTTCTCTAGATTAACAAGTAGAGATGTTTGCTGAGAAGAATAAACTACAGAGTTGCATTGGATAACTGTGAAAAGATTACGGCCATAGTTAATATTTAGTGACTTTTCCTGTTATGTGTATGCAAGCAATTAAGATGCAATGTGTACATGTTAGGAGAAGCATTCTGCCAATGAAATGATATATGGCCTCTTTTCGCATTTTCTGTGACTTGAATTAATCCATTTATTTTAGTAATTTTTTATGCAGAATTAAGATTGCACACAGATGCAGTCAAGTACTTGATTTATAGACAAAAATTAATTAACAATAATCTGTATTTAACAAAAGTCAAAATGGGATCATCTAAACCTATGAGATAACAATAACATGAGAAGACAAGCATATTTGAAAACAAATAAAATAAATTATTACAACGGACATTCGAATACTCTCTTGGATTTTCCATGCTTAAAACATATATAGTACAACATGATGCTCTCCTAGACTTTGGTGTTCACCAAATCTTGATCATTACAGGAGGTTACCTGTCTTTCTCACATCTCAATGACGATCTATCGCTGCCAAAGGATGGATTATAAGAGGTGACGCTTGCATTTCTGCCTTCAATTATGAAGCTCAGAAGCTCATAAATCACTTAGGATTGAGCTCACATCACAAGGTCAAGGTGGTTTCATGTCCAATTCACTGTAAGAAAACATAGACACACCATTAACAGGGATTGTGAAGAATATCGGTTTTCTACCATCAAAAATTTCATTGTTGTGAAGTTGTTAGATTCATACATTGCTTTTCTCATTAAAGGATGAGAAGGAAATAAGGAAAAAGAAAACTGAAGAGTTAGCGTCCAGTTAAGGTTATAAGTTAGCAACTAAGCCCATTTTCTGCCCTCAAATCAAGAGCAGTTCTACAGGCTTTTACAATTCTTTGCATCTCAATTCTCACCACCTCCTTCAATATATCAAAGCAACATTTACAAGGGAATTTCACATTAGGATCAGTGATTTCATTTTTTCAAACACACCAGTATGAAGTTACAGCTAATTTGTTTTGGATCTTACTTGTATAGATGCTGTTTATTTTCAAAGTGGATATCAATATAAACAAAGACTTGACAGGAGGATTTAAACTCGCAAGGATTAAACAGGGATGTGTTGAAGGATCCATGATTAATCTTTGAGTTATTGGATGCATAACGAGATTGGGTTCAATGGATTCGGAGCAGAGTCTGTTAAGACTAACCCAACTGACCTTAACCTTTATTGACATTATGGCAATACAACGTTACAGCATCTACCCAACCTCTATTACCCTTTTCTTCTATAAATACCCTATTCCTTCACTTCATGTGAAGGACCTTCTAACTAGCTAGTCTACTTAGAGCTTCTCTTTCTACAAAGGTAGTTTCTCTCTTTAGACATCGTCCGACAACACCTATTGTAAAATGCAATATTATGCCAAGAGTTTCATTCTACACTCCATTGGACTTTTTCGCAAACTGCATCATTCTGCCGTAACTTCCATTCTACACTGCATTGGACTTACTTGGCAAAATCGTCCTCCAGTTATTCAAGTTCCTACCTATCATCACATTCACACGTGTCAAGATTGTCTACTACTCCTCCCATACCTCTTCTTACGTAGAAATTTGTGTTCGTGGTAGACGGATGTGGGTTTTGTAATAGGAAGCAGAATCTCAAAGACTGGACACCATGAAACAGTTATGGACAAAGCAAACAATTATAGAACTTGCAAAAACCCATGAGAAGCATATAAAAAGAAATCAGAAAGCAGAAGAGGGGTATGAACAACAAACAAACAAACTGTAATTGCAAATTACTTTTCAGAACTATCCAGTTTCAACACTTGGAACTCAACAGGCTTGTAATTAGTAATTTGTAGGCAAGTAGATTTTTTCATGTTCATGCTTGTGTCAGCGAATATCTTTCCATAATTGCAATTCGTTTATGGATTATGTCTGCAGGTTCTAGTGTTTAATGTTCACTTTTAAATTTATGTTTATATGATATAACTGAGGTCAACAGCCTGAATTTAAGCTCACTAGTTTTTAATTCGTATTTAGATTGCACAAATACATTCACAAGTTGTAGTTAGAGTTAGTGAGTAGCAATTGGAAGATTGGAACACCTGTAACTTGCTTCCCAATAAGCTTGGTTATTGGGAAGATTGCACAGTTTGACAATGTTCGATTGAAGGTCTGCAGGCTAGGTTTTAGTATTTCTAGTGTAGTTAATTGTGAGTAAAACCATCGCAAACATAATCTTGGCATCAAAGGAATGTAACCATATGGATTCCTCTGAACGCGACATTCATCCAACCTTTTATACACCAAACTGTTAGCATAATCTATTCATCCCTTATCACCCACTTGATCCTATAAATTCCCCATGCATTCACTTCATTTGAGGGATTTTCTAGCCAACTATTTTACTCAGAGCTTCTCTCTCTAGACCTTGTCCGACAACACTTTTTGCAGAATGCAACATTCCATCAAGGCTTCCACTCTGCACTCCATTATAATTACTTGGCAACATCATTCTCTTCAATCACCTAAGTTCTTACCTATCACCGCATTCTGGCATGCCAAGAATGCCTGCACTTCTTCCAATACTGCTTTTTATTGCATCCTTTCTCTATGGATGAGAATCACCATATGTCTTTCTACTTTCAACTTTTAGTTATATTGATCCTTCTACATGATTTTGATTTACAGTAGCTTTTTTTACAACACAAATTGATACTAGTTGACCGCTTCATCCAATTTCATTATACAAGTCCGTTACTTGATCCAACTAAAGAATATAGATCATGCTACGTGTATGGTGATAATAAATAGAAATAATAAAAGCATTAAATTCTGTAAAAAAATCACTGAAAACTAAATAAAAAAATAATTTGATTACTAATAAAGAAGATAAATATATTAAATTGAAAAAAAAGTAAAACAAATTAAATATATTTTTTAAAAAAAATTGAAGAATTATTTTTCTGAAATAGTATATGAGATTCTAATCTTATTTTGTTAAAATTTTAAATGTTTTTTTTTAATTTCATACACTTTTAATATTTAAAAAAATGTAAAAAAGGGTATTTTTATTATTAACCAAATTATTTTTTATTATATTTAAAAAATTAATGTATTATTAAATATCCGAAACAAATTGAAAAATTATATTTTTTTAGGATTAATATAAAAGATTCTGATCTTCATTCATTTATTAATCTTTAATTTAATATAGTGTTCAATTTTTTTAAAAAATAAAAACTTTATTTTATTTTTATTATAAACCAAATTATTTTTATCTTAGTTATTAATAATTTTTAAAATCTAATGTATTATTTATTTCTATTTATTACAAAGTGTAGAAGTACCCTCTACTTGGGCAACTAACCCCAATTATCAAAACTAATTGATTGTCATGACAGAGTTGGATGGAGGGATCAACAAATACCAACTTATATAGTAGAAGGGTTGCTACGGACTAAAATCATGTAGAAGGGTCAATATGATCAAAAACCAAAAATAAAGGGGCATCTCGTGATTTTCATCCCTTCTCTTTTGCAAGTTGCAACATTGCCAGTACCCAAGACTACCTTGCCATTTTGACTTCAACAAGTACCCGTATCTATCACTTGTTAGTGAATCATGCTTATACATTATGCATTATTAGAAATGTGGTCTTTACATATTAAAGCATAATCCTTTTATTCTTGTTTTTGTTATCCAATTTGTTAAGTTTTTATATTACCATGTTATGTAAGGATCACTTTTGAGAAAGAGGTTGCTTGCAAAAACCACGAAATCACAAACACACAAGCACATGCCAGCAAAGACACAGATGAACAAAATACCTATTGTCTTGTTGAGCAACCAGAGTAGCAGAGCCAGTTCAACCCCAAATATGGTATGAAGCCACGTTCTGTCCATCATGAAGCCATAAACTGTCATTCCTGCCTTATTGTTTTCCAGATATGTCACTGCAACAAGTGTGAGGCAATAGAAGATTAGTCCTATAATAATATCACATGGAATTAATACAGGTTTTTGCTTCCGCTAACCTAGAGCCTGCCTCTTTTGGAATGAGATTGTATGTGCAAAAATCGGCACCATTTTTGCATTATCCAGATCATCATCTCCATCTTCTTCCTCGTCATCTAATACCCAATCAATGTTGACAGGAAAGCCTCGGCTGGGTGCAATCTGAGTTGTTGGAGTGTCACCATCCATATCATCATATGAGTTGATTGTGGCACAAATATGCCACTTTGCAGCAAGGCTTGTAATTGACTGTGCTCTGTGCGTGATCTTTGTTGCACTACGCAGGCATATGAAGAGCCCTGTCACCAGATTAATGGAGCATAGCTGCCCCACAATAACAGGAATTATGAACTACTATATATATAAGTAACAACAATGTACTGCATTTTAGGGAATAAAGAGATACCAGAAGCTCTGCGGCCTCGAAGATGTTGTTAGAAGCACTTGACCTAGTGGTTGTTAGAAGGGAAATGAACTGACTTGCTGTGACCCCAACAAGAGAGAACAATATAAACTTCCGAAACCGATGGCTTATGATGCGAAGGTTTCTTCTGATTCTAAGATGTTCTTTCAATATAGTACCAACATCGCTTTCCTCTTGAAAAACTTGAGCAAACTCCTCAAGTCTAAGTATTTGTAGGGAGCAAATGAGTTTGTAGAGAATGCAACCAATGATGAAAATTGATATTCGGTATACCCATGAGCAAAGCTGCAACATGCATGTGATGGTGTCACTGACATACATGTTCCAAAAATAGGGTATTTCGTATGCTCCCGTCACATACCACCATATCCTGTATGCAGTCTCTATGATAAAGCAGGGCAGGACAAAAATGCAGAGGAGCTTCATTGATCTCTGCAGCAATTACAAGTTCACATCTTGAGTATGCCACAACAAAGTTCCACTCATCTACAAGCAATTACGCAGCCTTATGCAGAACAAGCATGGTCTTCAGTGCCCTTGGCATAATACACCACAAAAAAATCCGGTTTCTTTACAATCAAAACAAAAAGGTAGGGCAGGACTTGAGAATCACACTTTTTGAGAGTACAGTACATTTGGAAGAAGAAATGCATCATTTCCCACTTTTAAGGGACTGGGGGAAATAATCATTTTTCCTTTCTCGTGTTGCTTATCAATAAAGTCATGGGATCATCTGCTATTTCTTTATTTTATTTTTTTCCTCTTTCTGGGGACAAAAGGAATCAGCTTTTAGCTGTTCACGGTCTAATTACTACCTGCCTTCTTTTCTGCCATTTCACATGCTGATTCTTGTGATTGTGAAAAAAGATTGCTTTTCAGTTTCCTTTCGCAATATGCCAAATCAAAATTAAACAAGAGCAATATCAAAAAATCTAATCTCTATTCATTTCAGAATCTTACTAGAAGAAGGGAAAATCAATCTCCATAATCATACAGTAATATCATCTAAATGATCAGATTTGAACACGACCAATTGTAAGATTGTTAGGACAATTATAAACATATCTTGTTCGATCCCATTATTTCAAAAGCTAGAGAAATCTCATCAGGATCCAAATTATCCAAAGATAAAAAATGCGAACTTTAGACGCACACAGAGACCATAAACACACAATTATATAGCATTAGCAACGCTCAAAAGAAAATTAAAAGAAGGCAAAAGAAAGAAACCATACCCGGAGCTGCTCCGTATATCCTTGCTGAATCCTCTCACTCTCACCATCTAATTTATCCAAGAAGAGAAACCTTTTAATCCCATACTTATGAGACCAATTAGAGAGAGAAAGAAATGAAATGGAAGCAAATATTGAAAGAGATAATTGGACCACAGCATCATAAGGCCTTCTATGTTGTACATCACAATTGGAACAAGAAAGAACAAAGTGAGACACCAGAGGGACACCAATGGCAAGAACAAAGAAAACAGACCAAGAAATAGCAGTTCTCCATATGTTTGATTGATCTAAACATACCCAGTTCAGACATAATCTCAAGCTCTTCAGTTCAAAGCCAAGATTAGCCATGTTTTGGGGTATGAGAGACTTTCTTCCTTCATTTTCCATAGTTTTGGAAATTTTGCTAGAATCAGAATCTCACTGTCGATATAACTGCTTGGGAGCATTTAAAATATATGTGATCAGTGATGACAGAGAAGCAAAAATGAAATGGAAAGGCTTAAACTTCCTCTTTTTATCTCTTTCTTCAACAATACACGTTTCCTCTACTGATAAAATGGTGTTTGTTTACATTTTTTTTTTTAATGTGCGTGATTGACAAAACTGGTTGTGGGCCTGATACTGACAATCTCTGGCTGATTGGCTAACCAGTTATTGCCACCTGTTGTCTCTTGGTTGCTAACCTCATGGCATGTCTCTTGTCTGGCTCTGCTAAAAAATTGTGCTGTGTTTTACATTAGATTACGGTAAGAAATTATTCTTGAATTGACCTTATTTATAATTGTGGGAAATCTTGGAATTCAAATCGAGGGCCCCAAAAAGAAAATCTTGGATCATGCTGCCAGCCACCTGTTTACAGCAAAATCCCAGCTGAAAAAAGGCATTGTGATCATTTATGACATAGTTGCAAAGTTTCACCTTTTTTGTAATCTTTTGAGTTCTACACTTCCAGATGCTAAAGCAGATCAAATATTTTGTTAGAACAATAACGGATTCCATGTGTTTTATTTTTATTTTTTAGATCAAATATATTCGATTCCAATCACACCGAATCAAATTTTACCTACATTTCAATTTAATTAGATAAAAATTATATTCAATCGAATTAGATGATACTAAATACTCGACATTCGATTCTGCTCAAACTAAATCAAATTTTACCTACATGTCAATTTAATTAGATAAAAATTACATTCAATCGAATAAAATTAAGGTATGGAACACAAATGCAGATATGGATCACAAGAGTCAGAGTGCACTTTACATTCACTTCTATCTTGTGATTAGATGAGGGTAAAATAAATTACTTCTCCACTTAAAGAAATTAGAGAGAGAGAGAGAGAGAGAGGCTGGTTTGATGGCAAAGCATGAGATTACAGGTGCAAGAAAGGGACAGGGATGGTATGTGGAACCTGTAAGGGGATTGAAATCTACCATTCTTCTCATGACAAGCCACCTGTCAACCGCATCTCAGACTTCGCGTTTGTCCATAGAAATTGTTGGTTTTTTTTTTAAGAATAAATTATAAATTAGTCCCTCTATTTTGGAGAAAATAATTAATTGCCCTCCTTGTTTCAAAAAATTAATTATTTAATTTTAAATCAGTATTGAAACATTTAATTTAATATTACTTGTTTCATAAAATATCATACTTTCTTGTTAATCCTTCTATATTTTATATTTTTTATTTCTTACAATAAAAAATCAAAATAAATTGGAAAGGAGTGAAAAGAAAAAATTTAAAATATAAAGATTAAATAATTAGTTTTTAAACACGGAGGACCAATTAATTTGCTCCTTAAAACTAAAGAGACTAATTTATAATTTACTCTTTTTTTTATTTTTGTGGTTTCCATATGGGCTTTATAGTCAAATTAAAAAAAAAAAAAAAAAGGTTCTTTCCTTTATGAGGGACCATATAAGGTGAATTTATGCCATTGCAAACTCTGTTGTGTGTGCAGATGCACTGAATATTAAATTTGCCTTTCAAAAAATAAAGGCAGATGTTGATTTTTTTTTTTTCTTTTTCTTTGTCCTTTTTTCTTTAAAAAAATTCTTTTAATGGATTCCAAGTGAGACTTGGGGTGGTGGGCCTGAAGCATAACATCAGCACTGACAATTTTTTGTTTGGTGAAAGCAAAGCAATCCAGCTCCACATGTATCCAAAACCAGGCCCAATTATTTAAATCAATAATAAAGCATCCCAAGTTCCTTTCTCTGATAAGTGATAATAATAAAAATATAAAAAAACACAATACTACGAAACTCAATAATTAAAAAGACCACCAACTAGACCAAAAACTCACTCAATATCTATAGTACATGTTCGAAAAAAAAAATAATTCTTTATTTTAAAATAAATTTATTAAAAAGTTATTAATGATTTTACAAATATCCATTGTCATGATTGTTAATTTACTATCGTAATTCATAATCGTAGTCATTTTTGTAATTACATTTGTGATTCGAAAGTATAAATTACATTTTACTTGCACCTTACTCCCTACATTGAAGGCCAAACTCATAAGAGTTTCTTTCAACTCTTTTCCCCCTTCAGTTCACTCATCTATTCCTTATATAATAGATGGAAGGCAGGCTCTATTGGATCTCTTGGTGACAAAAAATGAAATCTTGCAAAAAAAATGTAGTCTTCTACTGCTTGGTGATAGATTCCAAGAAAAGAAAAAATGATTGGTACCCTCGTTTGTTCTTATATAATAAACTAATTTTTCAATTTGTTTTTATTTTTTGAAAAAAACAACTATAATCTATTTTTATATTTCGAGTTGACTTCATATATATTTTTTTAGTTAAATTTTTTAGCTAAATAAATTAAATTAAGTATGTGATTTATATATAATATGCGATTTAATAAAAAAATATCTTTGTTATTGAGTATAAGTGATCTACATCTACTAATACAAAGGTCGATTCTTAACAATTAGTTGAAAATTCTGACAAAAGAGAGAGAGAGTGCTTGGAAACTAGGTTAAAATATAAAAATAAATTAAAAAAAACATATTAAAAAATCGAAATCTATTGGATCTCTTGGTGAAAAAATCTGAAATCTTGCACGGAAAATGAAGTCTTCTACTCGCTTAGTGAAAGATTCCAAGAAAAGAAAAAATGATTGGTACCCTTATCTATCCTTATATAATAAATTAATTTTTAAACCTGTTTTTGTTTTTTTAAAAAAACGCCTATAATCTATTTTTATATTTCGAGTTGACTTCGTATATATTTTTTTAGTTAAAATTTTTAACTAAATTAAATTAAATTAAGCATGTGATTTATATATAACATGCGATTTGATAAAAAAATATCTTTGTTATTAGGTATAAGTGATCCATATCTTCTGATACAAAGGTCGATTCTTAACAATTAGTTGAAAATTCTGACAAGAGAGAGAGAGAGATTAGAAACCAGGTTAAAATATAAAAATAAATTAAAATTAAAATAATAAAAAAAACATATTAAAAAATTTACTCATTATACGTAAACTTATGAAGATGTTTTTTCAAAAAAAAAAAAAAAACACTTAGGGCATACACAAGAGGAGCGTACTTATCCACACATTCAAAGCTAATTAGCTCCAACTGTTAAAATCAATCAACAATAAACTACAGAAAAACTGATCAACAATGCTTTGTTCTTTGGGCAAGTAGATTGAAATAGACCAAAGCTAAATAATAATACTTGCAACTCATCCACACCTTCTGATCATGACCCTTCCTTTTCTTTCAATTATGTATTTTGTCTTCAATCATCTTCAACCTTTTTGTGGTGCTAAATTACTATCTGGGACAAACCAATATTAGCAAATCAATGAACATATTGACTTGTTAAATTATTATCAATAGACAAATGGCAGAGCTTGACCTATGACTTCGCAAAGAGTTCTATTATGTTAATAATGAATAACGATAAAAATATTTAATAGCTAATTTTAGTAAATAATTTTCGCTAAACTTTAGAAAGCTGGTGCTATATAAATAAAATTAAAAATAATTCACTAATCTTCATATATATTGAAACTTGGATCATGGGAGATATTAAATAGCTAAAGATGTATGTTTATACATGGACGGAGGGTATTCTGGTAAATTGGTAATTAATATTAGACCAAACGATCCAAAACTCTCATGAGTTTTAAGTAATTCGAGAGTTGATTTCATAACTTTTAATTTAAGATTGGATTTTTTTTAATTATTTTTATTTAAAATTAGATATTTTTTGTTAAATTTTTTATCAATTCTATCTTGTAATTGCAATTTATTAACAATTAAAAACATGCAAAAACTTATAGATTTTTTTTTCCTCCAAAACTTGTTTATTCCTTCATAAATACGAAGAAGTAAGTAGTCAGAAAACGTTTTAGAAGGGAAAAAATTAAAATTTTAAAATAAAAAAGTAAAACACCCAATAATTTTTGATACATTTTTAATTATTGAGAAATTAAAAAAACAACCATGTGCAAATTATATTTATTTCTACCATTACAATTGATAAAAACATAACAAAGAATTCAATTTTCAATAAAAAAATAATTAGATAAAGATCTAATATAAAATTAAAAATTAAAAAAATAAAATTTTAAATGATTTAAAGTTCAGAAAATGTTTGGAACATTTACCTCTACTGTTATTAAAAAAAAAAAAAAAAGAAAAGAAAAGAGGGAGAGATAAATGTAAGGAAGACAGGGTCCATTGGCCTGGAGTCCAGGCCTTTTGGTAGGTGGTTAGCCCGAGTCCAATCCGGTGGGCAGTGGGGTAGGCAAAGGAATATACCGGCCACAGGAACCGCCTAAGTAGTCAAACTAATAAACGACACGACAATTTCCATTTCCTTACCGTAACCTTAAAAACAAGAAACCAAATCACCCTTTTCTCTTCTGTGTCTTAGCAGTTTGTTCAGACAGCCAATCTAAGAAAAAAATAAAAATAAAAAATGGCAGCAGCGATTCTCTCTTCTTCTTCATCTTCTGTATTCACAATCTCACCCCCTCCTTTACTAAAACCAGAAGTAGATATTTTACTAAAACCCCACAAAACCCTTTGCTTTTCAAACGCAACAACCCATTTCTTCCTGCCAGGTAAATTACTTTTTATTAATCAACTGCAACAATCTTCATCAAATTCTTGGCTACAAATAAAAGTTTTTTGTTTTTGGTGTAGAAAGTTGTGTAGAGTTCAAGCGACAGTGTTGAAGGAAAATGAAGAGAAGAAAGTTGTTGTTGAGGAATCTTTTAAACCCAAGACTTCCACTCACGAGCCGGAGGCCTCACCACAGCCTTCAGCTCCTACTGAATTAGAGACATGGGTTATCAAGCTCGAACAATCTGTCAATGTCTTTCTCACTGTAAGATTTCCTTATTTTTCTCCATTTGATTGCGTATTACAAGAGTTTTCTAGTTTGTTGTTGTTTATTTAATAATTGATTTACATGCTCCCTTTTTTATTTATAGGAGAAAGAAATTGGGTGGTAGTATGTATATGATTCTGGGTTTCATTTCTTTATTTATTTATTTTTTTTTGGGCAGGATTCGGTGATAAAGATTCTTGATACATTGTACCATGACCGCGATTATGCTAGGTTCTATGTTTTGGAAACTATTGCTAGAGTTCCTTATTTTGGTGAGTATTGCTCATTTATATTGATTTCTCTATCAATTTTGATTAAACCCTTGATGGGTTTGTTATGTTCTTAAATATTAGAACTGAGATTATCCAATGGTCAGAATATGGATGGTCATGCTAGTTAGCGAGAAGTGATCTTTTGGGTATGCTCATACTTCCAACAAGAGAAAATTTGATTGCCCATTGTTCTCATATATACATCATACTTCCAAAATGCGATAAGAAATTATTGCAGTTCGTTAAAATTGAATCTGCTGGTTTGGTTTAGGGGTTTGTTGAGGTCTTCTAATTGTGATATAAAAATATTGAATTTGATCGTAATCACCAATTTCTGAATTCTGGCAGCCTTTATGTCTGTTCTTCACATGTATGAGAGTTTTGGTTGGTGGAGAAGAGCTGATTATCTCAAAGTGCATTTTGCTGAGAGCTGGAATGAAATGCATCACTTGCTTATCATGGAAGTAAGTATCTTTCATAGTTTTAGTGGTTGCACATTTCTGTTATTGATTTCCGTTAGGAGGACATTTGTCTTGTATGTTTCCTCTGTCATTATGGTCAGCATTCATGGTCTCAAGTCTACTAAATCTTGTTATTTCAATCCCTTCACTGTTTCAATTTGTGCTATCTTGCATGGGACGGAATTTGAATACTGGATGATCTGGAATCTTAGTATAGATGAAGTGAAGTTAGCATAAGAACAGACTGTAAGACACTGAGGAAGAAAATGGAGAAACTGGCTCCTTTTCCAATGAAGATTGGTTGTAAAATACAGAATACACAAACTCAACTTATGACATACTCATGGACCTTGCATGCACATATGTGCAAGAACCTTTTGTAGGTCTAGTCTATTTATAGGTGGTACAATGGCTCCAAAAAACAGAATACTGTAGCAAACTTCTAATGATTCTGATGGCATTTTAATTTGATTGCAGGAATTGGGTGGTAATTCTTGGTGGTTTGACCGCTTTCTTGCTCAGCATATAGCAATCTTTTATTACATCATGACAGTCTTAATGTATGCATTAAGCCCAAGAATGGCATGTAAGTACACGCGTCTGGATTTTGCTGGTTAATACTGTCTTGCATTGTAACATTCCACTCATTTGATCCTCTTGGTTCATGAGTGATCAAATGATATGAAAATTTGTCATTTAATGAGAACATTACAGGAAAGAAATGATGAACCAGGTTTACCTGTCTAATATTTTTAATTCTGACATATTTTTGGAAATCTCATTACATTTTTTGAACTCATAGTTCAAAAAAGTCCCATATTTGTTGATTTCTATTGCTTTGGATTCATTTTAGTTAGGAAGAGGATAAACTCCATTTATTTTATGGCTAATCGACTGTTTTTCCTTATGTTGCTTCAAGCCCACAGGAAAAGCACCCTAAAAAATTCGTCTTGTAGAAAAAAATAATTGCTGAATAAGCCTACCCTCAGTTGTATATCTCAAATTGGTGATTAATGGGTTGCCTGGGACTCGAACCCAGAACTAGTTGGATAGGGAGTAGAGAATTTGTTTGTTAAAATTTTCTGATATTTATCTCAAATTGGTTATTTTGATAACTTCAATTCCTTACATTGCTTTAATACCATAGGAAAGCACCCAAAATGAACTTTCTTATAGACAAGTCTATTGCAGTGTGACCTACTCATAGTCACCTATCTCATAATGGTGATTTTGATAAATTCAATTGAATCTTTTTTTCAGATCACTTCTCCGAATGTGTTGAGAGTCATGCATTTGAAACTTATGACAAATTTATCAAGGCACGAGGAGGTACGTTAAGACTTTCATATGTTGGTAGATGATATTATTGTAGTTGCTTGCACATCCATCATCTATGAGTATAAATGTTGAGAAAATATTAATTTTTCATTATCTTGCTTTCAATTGTTGTCGTTTATTTGGCTGCTATCACTTCATTTGTTCGTTTTGTACATGTTTCCTTTTCTTATTTTTCGAGAGGAATTATATGAATAGTGTTGCCTATCCCGTAAGATGACCATTTATGTGAATAGTGTAATATGACTGACCACTTGTAAGTTATGACACGTCTGGATGGTATTAGAGTCATGCGTTGATGATACTAAAAAATCTTTACTATGTATGATAATGTATTCAGGCCATTGGTCACCCAAAAAACATATCAGCATGCGCAACAGTATGAATGATCTCTATCATATGCTTAATATTATAGATTCTATTTCATTCTGATTTATTCTGGTTGTTTCTGTTCTTTGTAGAGGATTTGAAAAAAATGCCTGCATCCGAGGTTGCTGTGAAATATTACACTGGGGGTGATTTGTACTTGTTTGGTGAGTTCTTATTTAACAAGCAATGGTGCATCTTATATGAGGTGAGAACTTGGCATAACAAATCTTTTATGGTCTCTTCCAGATGAATTTCAAACTTCCAGAGCTCCCAATTCTCGTAGGCCAAAAATCGGTAAAAATAAATTTCGAGTCTGTTGTCTAGAATTTTTATTTTAAAGAGGAGTAAGGGGAAATTAATAGAAGTTCAATTTACAAGACTAACAGAACTTTTGTGCTCTGTTTTGAAAATTTTCCTTTTTTTCCAGAGAATTTGTATGATGTATTTCTGAACATCAGAGACGATGAGGCTGAACATTGTAAGACCATGAAGGCCTGCCAAACTCATGGAAATCTCCGCTCTCCACATTCATATCCAGAGGATGCTTTGGAAGACGATACTGGCTGTGAGCTTCCTCAAGCAGATTGTGAAGGTGTTGTTGATTGTTTAAAGAAATCTGTAACATCTCCTCCATCAGAGCAAAAGCAAAATATTTGAGGGAAGGAGCAAGGACACAGTATATACTTCCAGTGATGAATACTGAGAAATTGTATACATAGAAGAAACATGCAAATTTACAAATTATACATGCCTTTGGTTATAAGTGAAAATTGAATCAATTTTTTGCTTCGTTTAGTCTCTCTTGTAGTTGCATTTTTAGAAAAAGGGTTTTTCCTGGATAACAGAGTTCCCACTTGAAATGTTCCTCTGCTCTTGCAACTGCCTAAACGGTATAGACCCTGATAGAAATTTAGTCCAGAAACCTGCCCTGGTGGTTTTCATGTATCCCTGTTGGATTGACTGGAACTCTGACCATTTAAAATCTCTTCATGATCATGGGCCAATGCCAACACAGAAAGGTCGTTGTGCCTATCACTTGGTCTCTGTGTGGCTTACGGCGTGCCCAAAAATTCTTGCAAATAAAGCAATTCTACTGCGAGAAATGAAACAAGAGTTCCTGTAGAATAATGATTTAAAGGCGGCTTATCTTACTACTGTGTCAAAGGAGAAGAACCAAGTGGAATTATTGAGGTGTGATGATTTTAAAATCGTTGAAGAGATTGAAGTAAAAGATCTTGCAATAGAATATGATATAAAACCACAATAAAAGAAAAAGAAAAAGAAAACCAACTTGTAAGTGGCGGCAACTTGCGATACGTTAGAACGGTAGCAGAAAAAGTAAAAAAGAAGATAAACAGAAGAAAGGTGGGATCCAGTGCCCGATAAATTTAATATTGCTGACAAGAAAAATTTGAAAGGAAGGAGCAGCAGCAACCACATCGTTTTGATATGAATTTTCCATTTTATGAGACCAAAACTACTCCCCGCCCAACGTGGGCAGTTTCCACCCTCAGAAAGCACAAACATTCTCTATTTTCTGTAGCTAAGAAACGCCTTTCCTTCCTTCATTTCCTTCACTACCAAAGGCCAAAGCAACCACACCCTTCACAACACTTTCTTTGTATGATCTCATCACTCACACCCACCACAAGATTCGTTTCTTTCTTTTTTACAAAAAAGAGACACAAATATGGGAGGAGAGAGCTCACTGGGGGCACTAGTCCCCACCGTGAATTCAGAGGCAACAACCTCCAAAATGCCACCACCAACGGAGGAGTTAGACAAGGATATGCTCTGTCCTATTTGCATGCAGATCATTAAGGATGCTTTTCTCACTTCTTGCGGACATAGCTTCTGTTACATATGTCTTACTACTCATTTAAGAAACAAGAATGACTGTCCTTGTTGTTCTCATTACCTCACCACCAACCAAATCTTTCCTAATTTTTTGCTCAATAAGGTTTGTCCTTTCAGTCACGATCATTTCTTGCTCATCTTTACCCTATCTTTTGTAAATATCTGCTTGATATGGCATAGTCTAAGCGCTCAGAACAAGTTTCCTTTAGGCTTTCTTTCTTTGGAAAGTAAGCTTTTGTGTTCACAATTGTCAAGTTTGTTTACAACTTTGTAAGTATTGAATGATGTAGTTATTGGAGAGAACTTATGCTCGTCAAGCAACCAATAATGCATCACCTTATGAACGCGTTCACCAGGCATTACAACAGGTCTGTTGTTGCCGTTTGGATGGTTAATTGGGATTCAATAATTATCTACTTGGATAAATCGGTGGGCACATTTCTTGCCTTTTTCGTTTAATGATTTTCTTGGGATTTTTAGACAGGGTTGTCAGTTAAGGAGCTAGATGGCCTTTTGATCCTCCTTGCAGAGAAGAAGAGAAAGATGGAGCAAGAAGAAGCAGAGACAAATATGCGGGTTTTACTTGACTTCTTGTACTGCCTCAGGAAGCAAAAGCTTGATGAGCTCAATGAGGTTCCTGAATTTTACGGTTTTAAGTTAATTTGTAATCTAATTTTCTTGCATTAGAGAAATCTTTTGTAGGCAGTGTTACATTTCTACTATTAGAATGTGTTATTGTACTTAAAATCATGTGCATTTGGTACAAGAGAAAATCAAACTACATTGATTATGTCTCGTATTTCTCGATGGCACTAGTTTGATTGCCTACTGGTGTTTGATTAGTCTGTGGATGGATAGTCATTTGTGCCTTTTGCAGATTGAAACAGATCTGCAGTACATTAAGGAAGACATAAATGCTGTAGAGAGGCAAAGAATAGAGTTATGCAGGGCAAAGGACAGATGCTCACTAAAACTTAGTATGTTTGCTGACGATCTGAATTCTCAGTTTGTTACTCAATCAGGACCAAATGCATCTAAAAAGAAATGGGTCCATGAACAGGTAAGTGATCTTTAGAACATGCATATTTGCCAGTCTCTTCCTGTTTTTAGTGATTGTGTGATTGCATAACTGTTTCCAAATTGTCCTTAACACTTGGTTGACCAGAAAATAACAGCCCCGACCTACTGATCTTGCTGTAGATAAACTATTTAATGTGATTCAATGTCCAAATAGGTTCTTATTTGCCTTCTCTTGCTTCAGTTCAATTGCTTGCAAGAATGTTACTTGCAAAAGCGGCGAAATTGGGTTAGAAAAGCATTTAAAGAGGAAGAAAGGGATACAGATATTATGAACAGAGAAGGATATAATCCAGGTCTTGAGGATTTCCAATCTGTGCTAACCAATTTCACTCGATACAGGTGGATGAATTTTTCAGTGTTAATCCTTTGTTTTCATGCAATTTGTTTGGTTTATTACGTTTGAATGTACATTTGAAAACCTGCTTGTGTCGCTCATCTTCTGCTTGGCTGTTGTATTAGTCGATTGAGGGTCGTTGCTGAACTGAGACATGGTGACCTTTTCCACTCTGCTAATATTGTGTCTAGGTTAGTTGGGGGGTTTCTACCACTCTCTTATAATTCAATTTGATTTCATATGTTTTCTGCTTTGTTCATCAAGCCTGCATTTCCCATGGTTTTTCTTTTCCAACTTTTATATAGACAGTCAAACGTCTTAATCATTGTAAACTCATTATGCTGCAGTATAGAATTTGATCGTGATGATGAACTTTTTGCTACTGCTGGGGTTTCTAGGCGCATTAAGATTTTTGAGTTTTCCTCGGTAAGTGTGGGAGAATTGAGCTGTAAGGTTCATTCTTTTTTTTCAAACCAGTAAAAGATTTTGTAGCAAGGGAGTACAGGCTCAAACTTATTGTCTTTCAATCTTTGTGATGTGGCTAAGTTGTTAAAAATGCATGTATGAAGTAACCTAGTCAGCATTTTACAATTCTGCTGTTTTAGGTTCTGTTCGTGTAATGAGGTTTCATGATTCATTTCTTTCTAGGTGATGAATGAACCGGAAGATGTGTACTGTCCTCTTGTGGAAATGTCCACGCGATCCAAACTTAGTTGCTTAAGTTGGAACAAGTATGCAAAAAATCATATTGCCAGCAGTGATTATGAGGGGATAGTAACTGTTTGGGATGTAGCTACTCGCCAGGTACATCGTTATACTTCATTTTTGTTATTCCACAATATATGCTCATGACAGACTGACACCAGTGTTGGAAACTCTGGATACAGTCCTACCCTTCAATCTTCTTATAGAAAGTGGCTGTTCTCAGGCCTGAAACCTGCAAAGCTGGAATGCAAATCTAATATTTTTTTCATTGCTTTGTAAAGTGGCCTTTAAGTTTCATAAATTGTCATTTCCCTAAAATTTTTGGATCGAGGTGTTACATTACACTAACAGCGACTCTTCCACCAGAGCATAATGGAATACGAGGAGCATGAAAAACGAGCTTGGAGCGTTGATTTTTCACAGACCGAACCTTCAATGCTTGTATCTGGCAGCGATGACTGCAAGGTATGATTGAAGAGATCTACAAATTATTTTTCTTATTGGTTATAGATTGAATACTGGTTTTATTATGCATCCCTGCTGCTTAGACCTGATTGATTCTATGTTAAACAGGTCAAAATTTGGTGCACAAAGCAAGAAGCAAGTGTTCTCAACATTGATATGAAAGCAAATATTTGTTCTGTCAAGTATAATCCTGGATCCAGCTTTCATGTCGCGGTATGTCTCAGTAAGATTCTTGCTAAATGATCCGTCTTCTCTTATGATTTTTTCTAGCACAAAAATATAGAAAATTTTATGCCCGAATTTTTTCCTTCACGTAGCCTGTGGCCTAGAAAGTTCCACTATTATCATACTATCCATTAAAATAAACCTCTTCTTCCTTCTTCTTAATTAGAGAGTAACCAAGAAACTTTACAAGGCCTTTGCATTCATCCAGTTTTTGTTTGAAAGTCTGACTGGATAGAATACATTAGATTAATTCTGAATGAATTCATGTTTAAGAATTAGTACTTAGCATTTTTCAGGTGGGATCTGCTGATCATCATGTTCACTACTATGACTTGAGAAACATTAGCCAACCACTTTATGTGTTTAACGGGCATCGGAAAGCTGTTTCATACGTGAAATTTCTGTCTAGTCATGAACTGGCTTCAGCATCGACTGATAGCACATTGCGCTTATGGGATGTAAAGGAAAATTTGGCAGTAAGTTTTGGCCCTTTCCATTAAAAAAAATACAGTTCTTGACGATTCAGTTTTTCTGGGAATGTGATTGCATCTGCGTCGAGCCTATTTAAACTAGTATCCAAATTACCATGATCCTTTATTTTTTCAGTTGCGGACGTTTAGAGGCCATACAAACGAGAAGAATTTTGTAGGTCTCACAGTGACTAGTGAATACATTGCTTGCGGCAGCGAAACAAATGAAGTGTTGGTGTATCACAAGGTTAGAAAACATTTGAATAAGCTGGTTTCCTTGGCGTTAAAAACCCTGTAATAACTTAGTACTGTGTCAACAATTGCAGGCTATCTCTAAACCTGCAGCTTGGCACAGATTTAGTACGGATCTGGAGAATGGTGAGGATGATGCTGGATCATATTTCATTAGCGCTGTGTGTTGGAAGAGTGATAGCCTTACAATGCTAACTGCAAATAGTCAAGGAACCATTAAAGTGCTTGTTCTTGCTGCTTGAATAATCGAACTCTTTTAATCCTGCTCGACATTAACTGTGTGCCCAGATAGAGAACGCGTTTACTATACAATTGGCAAGTAATATGCATAAATCACTAAGCATGAAATTGGAAGGGGTTAGGAGAGTGGGCACTCACACCCATTCCAGAAGTCCATGGATGTATTGGTGTATGCATCTTCTTGAGTATTTTGTAAAAGCTATGAAGAATCCTTTAATTGTGTTTTCAATATCATTTTGTTTGTGGAATTAATGAGATGTTCTAACAAGGAGTTGAATCTACTTCCATACCTCATCCATAATGTTCTCTGCCAAAGGGTTTCTGAACTTGGTGACATCATTACGAAAAATATCGTCGACAATATTGGCACCTTTCGGATTTTCTTTATCAGCCATTCTTCTGCTTCTGATTTCCCTTTTTGCTTCCATCACTGCTCTTCTGTTGCTCTCCCTCCACGACAGTAAGTATAGTCACTCATCCTCATGGATGCATTTCTCTTGTTAATTTAATCAGTCCTTAGGCGATATGACAACCCAGTGGCTTACTATTCTTTCTACAAATGTTCAGATCAACTTGAGCTCCAAAACAAGCCAAGCCAATAACCGGCAAATCTCCATATTTTCTCCCTCATTAAATTCCTACTGACATCCAAATCAAATGGAGTAACGAGTTAATACTACCTTGTCCTTCCCTTCCATTTTCCAATTCTTTTGCAGTTCAACCATTACTGTTTCTTCACTACTTTCAATCACCTAAACTATAGAAAACCAACCTACTTGATCATTTTCAACCATTACTGTTTCTGTAAAAAAAAAAACAATTCTTGCTTCATCATCAACACCACCATAACCTAATACTAATCACCATTACCAATGCCTTGATCCCCAGAAATCTGCCTTGACGCAACTGCAAGAAAACCTTATCGCTATTTTTCTTCATAAGGTGAGTTACGGGACCCCATTTCTGCTTTTTATTTTTTTTAGTGAATTTTTTGAGGTTTGATTATAAGATTTGATTCAAGTCATTTAACAGTTTTTTGTCCTTTGATTTTTATGGACATGGTAAGCATTTACTACCAGTTTATGAGAAGAAGAATTCTAATTAAGTGAGATATATAGGGATCAAATGGTTTTATAATATAAATCTAGATGTGGATAACTCGTATGAGATCTGATTGCGAAAGTACATAGTCGTCTCGGCGCATGAAAGCTACCTGTGATTGGATAGCCTGAACTAAAAAGAATAAAGAAAATTATATCACAAACAGTGTACGATTAATTTCCGAAAAAGGACTTACCCAGCAGGTTGCATGATTAATGCATCCGAGAGAATAAAGGAATGACTTTGTCCTGCATTCATCTTTATTCACCAATGTCGGTAGAAATCGTTAGTCGGTATATATATATATTTTAAAATCGGACTAAAAAACAGAATGGCTTGAGCCAAAAGCCTCAGGGTACGTAGAAGCCGCTTCCGATTCTAGTATTTAAGAATCCTTGTCTTTGAATGACACCAATGTTTGAGGAGGTTAAGAATGTTTTATATATAGAGAGAGTAGAGCAAAAGGAGAAAGCCAAACTCAATACAGAAGAGAAAAAACCAAAAAAAGATCACGGCTGGAAAAATAAAAAGATCAAAATCCTTAGCGGTGGCAGCAGCGAAAAGAAGAAGAGAAGCAGCAGCAGTAAAGAGAAGAATAGAAGCAGCAGCACTAAAGAGAAGAAGAGAAGAAGAAATCATCAACAAAATTAACTAATAATAATGCCTCTCTAGACAATCTGAGTGCCGATTGATCTGTTGTTTAACATTCTAGTTCGACTTCCAACGGCAAAGTCGGTCTTTTCTTCAAAGTTGGTCTCCAAAGGTTGGTGTTCTTTACTTGAGAAACCCTATTTTGTTTCCAACTTTATATGGCACCATATCAATAACAAGCTGAGTAACAAATATTCTTCTTATGCTGCTGCCTACCAAAATCCATCTTTCCTCATTATTAGTAGATATAGTGATCCAAGACTTTGTATTCTTACAACTGGTACTGATCAGGAGGAATCCCTTAAGGGATTCACGTTGGAATTCCTTCCTCAGGGAAAGGACATTAATCTTAATTTTTCTGTTGAGGCTTCCTGCGATGATTTACTCTTCTGCATAGCAAAAATCGACTACAATATCTCTGGTTATTATATCTGTAATCCCTTCACTAGGCAATGGCGTCTCTTACCTCCACCTCCCAAAAGAATTACTATGCATGGAAAATTTTTTGGGTTGGTTTGTGAGCCAAATTATCAGAGATGGGTTCAAGGACAACAATATGAAAGTCGACTTCGGGCGATATGCTTTAGCGAGGTAGAAAAGCACCGTTTCTTGGTGGATTTATATTGTTCGGAGACTGGACAATGGAATGAATCTCTTCTGTTAGGTCCCCAATATAAGTCTTCTACCAATGCGGTTTCACATGATGTGGGAAGTTGTACTGGTACAATGATACTAATGTTATTGCTTATGATCCCTTCAATGACGGTAAAACAATTTTCATTGATGGATCCGAATTTAGACGATTCCCATTGCTTGAGGACATTCCTAATCATCTCATCCGTTGTGTATTGAGTTGCCTCCTAGGGGCATGCCATGGATTTTTGCGGTTCATGCGGATCTGTACAAATACCTATGGTCCAGCTGCTAGTGATTGTCTCAGTATTTGGGAGCTCAAGGACTGTGAGGCTAGAAGATTCAGTTTGGTACTCGTGATTTGCTTAAACACTATGATTTCCAAGGAAATTTGCGTCAGTAGATTTGTACAAAGCTGTGATAGGTTCTTGGAAACAGCAATCGCTTTCCACTCAGAAAATAAGGATGTGGTATACTTGAGCTACCGTTACCACATCATCTCGTGCAACATCCAAAGCGGAGAGCTGGAAGTAATTGATCAGATTCCTTATGCATTCATCTCTCCAAAACAGTCAAGCTCACTTGGTGGCCTACACCAGTTTCGAAGTGCACACGCCCACAGAATGCCCATCTCCAGTACTGATGCAATAATTCTTATTTTATCTGATCTCCCTGTCCCCTTCAACTACAAGGGATATCATCCTAGATAGGTCTCTGATCATTCTATTTCAATATTTTAAGTTTCCGGTTTTCATATGTTGTGGTAGAAGTACTATTTATCTTTAATTATCTAGTAAGTTATTTACTCGATCTTGACTTTTCAAATTGTGTTCTAGTCTTCTGATCTCTTGCTGCCTTCTATTAACCTTACGCTTAATTTCAAATTAATTCTTATAAAGATTATCAGTTTATTTCTTTGACTGATTATATATGCAGATTGACTGCATGTTAGAAGGCTTTATAGACATTACTAAGATCTTTCTGCATTATATATTGATTAGAGAAGTTTATTTATTTTTTATTGAACCTGTTCATGCTTTGGCTTTCGGTAATGAAACTCAATCTGTTTTGAAATAGATACGTGGTGAAAAGTCGCAATCTATTGAGGAATAATGTCAGTCAGTCATTAGTCGTGCTCCATGGAAAAGAGCAGGCCAGCATGCAAAAAGAAATTTGCAGATGAGTTGACAGCTCAAGGCATACATGTTTTGATTTTGAAATGCATCTAGTGATGGAGAATGGTAATACATGGGGACTTTTCTAGCTTCTGAGTCACTACTGGTGTGTTCTTGTCTGCTTCGGTTTTTTCCCTCATCATGATCTTACTGTTTGTATCTGGTAATCATTTTGGTCGTTTTCACTGTTATTTGATCTCTCATATGCTTTTGCAGAAAATTCTGGTTTAGTGGGGTATGTGGAACTTGCCAAAAAATGCTGGTCACGACCTTGAGTATTGTGGCCCGATTACAGGAGGGATGCTTAACCGTCACTCCAGAGAAAAACTTCAAGGTGATTGTTTCTCATTTTGTTCAGGTTTATTCAGACTCATTTTCCCCTTTTCTTTTGGATCTCCGAGTATCAGTTGGTGCTTTGAATTTTCTGATATCAAACTTTGATCCTATCAGAGATAGTATATTTTTGTACCCTGCATGCCAATGGGATTCTGAAACTTGTAACCTAACAGCATTACGAAAAATATCCTCTGCATTGGCAGCTTTCAGATTTTGAAAACAGCCATCCTTCTTCTTATTCTCCTGCTTGCTTCTATGAATGCTCTGCTCCTTCTATCCCTGTTTCAGTTCCTTTCATTTTGAGCCTGTTGAAAGCAATTTCGCACCTAATTAAGTTAGCCTTCAGGCGATGCAACTGTCCAGCAACGTAATTACGATATTTTATTCAACTGGGGACCTTCAAGTTGGTCTAAAATTTAATTCCTTCTGTCCTTGCTTCACCATGTCAATAGCCATCAACTTCTCCAATTTAGTTTTTCCTGTCATGTGTTTGTTACTCATTAATGCATCCATCCAACTCGAGTCTGTAGACCCATTGTCTGCAGTTACTCATTAATGTATCCATCCAACTTGAGTCTGTAGAGCCATTGTCTGCAGAAAATTCAAAGGTGCATCCTTTAGTAAGTTGTGTCCACAGAAATTACAACATTCAACATCTTCGTTATTTCCACTGACTTTCTCCCTTCACTTCAACTAGTATATCCTTTAGCTGAATGAACTTAACTAAAAATCGAGTTAGGGCTGTAGAATGTGAGAGCCAAATAATTCATTCAGATCAACTTGACCTCCACTCAGTCAACGACCATCAACATCTCCAATTTTTCGTACTACAAGTTTTTCTGGTTTCTAACTTATGGCAGCCAATTGATTTGAGTCTTTGAGCTGTACAGCCATATAAATTTCTTCAAGAACGGTGTTCAGATAGAGTTTTCTCTACTATATATATTATCAGCCACCTAAACTATCAAGTATCAAAAACTACTAATAACATTCTTCTCCTACAAGAAAGATGAGAGGTCCTCGTCATCATTTACCCTTGTCCCGTATCTTTATTCTGCTCTCTTTATATCAAATAACTCTTGCATCATCTTTGTCAACGACACAACCAGCTGCCCACCACCGATGCCTTGATCACCAGAGAACGGCCTTCGTACAGCTACAAGAAAGCCTTAAATTCCCTGAATCTTCTTCAAAAGTTGAGTTGTGGGACCTGAAAACAGATTGTTGCTCTTGGGATGGAGTTGCATGTAATCATGCTGGTCATGTGACCCAACTTGACCTGAGTGCTTATCCTCCAGTTGAACTCAAGAGGCCAAACCTTGGAATGCTTTTCCAGAATTTCAGTTTTCTAGTGGAGCTCTATCTTGATCATGTAAACATTTCAGCACAAGGTAGCAACTGGTGCGAAGTTATCGCTCACGTGCTTCCCAACCTCAAAATCTTGAGTTTGTCTTACTCTAGCCTTTCTGGTCCTCTTTGTTCCTCGCTCTCAAGACTTCGTTTTCTATCCGAGCTCCACCTTGGCTATAATCCACTGTTGTCTTCCGTTCCATCCAATTTCTTATTAAATTCGTCTCATTTGGAAATTCTTGACTTATCAAATTGTAGCTTGAATGGGAGTTTTCCAAAGAGCATTTTCCTTTTGCCAAAACTGCAGTCCATTGATCTTTCAGAAAATTCACTCCTTTCAGGTCAGTTTCCAGAATTTCCATTGAACAGTTCTATTCAGTACTTGTCACTTAAGGACACAAACTTTTCTGGGAATTTCCCATTGTCCATTACCAATCTCAAGTCATTGTCTTATCTAGACTTGAGTAGTTGCAAATTTTCTGGAGTTATTCCGCCATCACTTGCAAACCTTACCCAACTTGAAACCCTGGATCTTTCATTTAATAGTTTCAATGGTTCCATCCCTCCATTTCAAAGTGATGGAGTTGCAATGCTTGCACACCTTTCCTTGGAACATAACCAGCTTAATGGCATTCTATATTCTTCTCTATTTACTCTTCCATCCTTGGTGAATTTGGATCTCAGTTCAAATCAATTAAGCGGTGAACTAGATGAATTCTCTAATGCATCTTCTTTGTTGATGATTGTAGAGTTGAGTAACAATAATTTGAGTGGATCAATACCAAGGTCAATCTTCAAGCTCCCCAGCCTTGTGTATCTTAATCTTCTATATAACAAATTTTCTGGCCCCTTGAAGCTAGGAAGTTTCAATCATCAGAGAGATTTGACAGAGCTTAGAGTTTCTGGTGTGTCAATTCTAAGTGATAACAGAAGCCTTGAGTTTGTCCAGCTTGCAACTTTGTTTTTGCCCTCTTGCAACTTGACAGAATTTCCAAATTTCCTCAAAGCACAAAACAGTTTGACTTCTCTAGATCTTTCCAACAACCGAATTCAAGGTTATGTCCCCAGTTGGATTTGGAAAAAAACTCTTACCAACTTGTACCTTTCCCAGAATCCTGTTGATTTTCCGGATTATCCTCCTTTCGGCAAGCTAAACCATAGCACGTCAATCCACCATAATGACATTATTTCTTCCTTTCCCGTGATGTTACAGGATTTGAGAATGTTTTCCTGTAACATAACAGGTAGCTTTCCAGAGTTTATAAAGAACCAAAAAAACCTACAGTATCTGGACCTTTCACACAACAACCTCAGTGGTCAAATACCGAAGTGGATATGGAACATGAGTCTAACATATCTAAACCTTTCTCGCAACAATTTTGATTTTCCTGACCAATTCTCAACTCCCATCTCCCTCGCCTCCTCAGATACCCTCGTTACTCTTGATCTTCATGCCAACCAATTGTCTGGTTCATTCCCTAAAGCTCTATGCAATTTCAGTCAACTCTCTTTGCTCGACATGTCCTATAACCACCTTAGTAGTCAAATCCCTGATTGTTTGGGAAATATTCCTACTCTCATGGTGTTGAATCTACATGAAAATAACTTCAACTCAATTTCAAGTTTTACACTAGCAAGAAATTTGGTGTCACTCAAAATCAGTGACAATAAGGTGGAAGGGAAGCTGCCGAGATCCCTAGCCAATTGTTTAAAGCTAGAGGTTTTGGACCTTGGAGGCAACAGGATACGGGACACTTTCCCTTTCTGGTTGGAGAAGCTGCCTGCGCTTAAAATTCTTGTACTGCGATCAAATAAGTTTTATGGCCCAATTGGAAATCGTGGTGCTCCGGCTACTCTGCCAATGTTGCATGTTGTGGACCTATCTTCCAATGAGTTTACTGGAAATCTATCGAAAGAATTTGTCCAAAGTTTAGAAGGGATGCAATTGTATAGCAACAATGAGTCGAGGCCAAGGTATGTTGGAGATGACTACCATTTTGCCAATGGATACTACAAGGAGTCGGTAACTATTAAGTACAAGGGGAAGACAACACAGATGGAAAGAATACTGACCTTGTTCACTTGTATTGATCTCTCTCAGAACAAATTGCATGGGCAAATTCCTGAGGAGATAAGGTACCTCAAATCACTGAAATCTCTCAATTTGTTTCACAATAGCTTCGTTGGTCAAATCCCGTCATCAATGATGGACCTTACAGAGCTGGAGTGGTTAGACTTGTCATGGAACCAACTCTCAGGGAAGATTCCTCCTCAACTTTTAAGCCTGACGTTCCTTGCTGTAATGGATCTCTCATATAACCAACTAGAGGGAAGGATACCACAGGGCAATCAGTTCAATACATTTACGAACTCTTCTTTTGAAGGAAACCCAAAATTATGAGGACTGCCTTTGACAAGGAAATGCAGTGATGGTGAGCCAATGCCTCCACCAGCTGTCGAGGATGAGGATTCATGGATTAAGTGTATACTTGATTGGAAAATTGTTGCCATGGGATATGGAAGTGGACTGGTAACTGGTTTCTCTGTCGGATACACAGTACTAAGTGAGATGAGAATCAAATGGTTTCGTGATCTCTTAAGGCAAGCAGGAAAGATAGGGCGACAGTTCAGCCAAGGTTAGAGAAGGCCTCAAATTAAGCAGGAGATGAAGTTGATGCTAGCTGGTGAAAGTTGCAAATAAGATATTATCTACAGGTAACAGTTAATCAATTTGTCAAGTTTCTAGAATAGAGAAAGTCATGGCCTCAACGCTGAATGAATTACTTTTCACTGCAGGTGGCAAGTCTTTGATGCATGTTAATCAGGAAATGACAGCAGGCACCTTGTCATCTGGGCATATGTTTATATTTACTATATATAGACTTCAGTTGGTAATCTGAATTGAGACTGTTTTCTGTAGAATCAATGGATTCAGTAACCAAAGTTGTTTCTGAAAATAATAAAGCTCTAACCAGGTGTCTGGAGCAATTCCATTTGGGATCGATAGCTCATACAAGATGTCGCTACCCGACGTCGGACGGGACTCCTCGAAAAATATCTAAAATTGAATTGAATATTTACAAGTTTATTTACAGAGTTTGGAGTCGCCACCTAGTATTGAAGGAACTAGGAACCTAAAACGGACAACTGGTTCGGAGATTCTATGGTAAGAAGTTGGTTACGCTTTTGGGAAGATATCGATCATGCAAAAGCGCTCTTTTCGAGAAAAGGTACCACGTCCGGTTTAGCTAT